ACCACGAGCCATTCCAGCTCTGAGAGACCCAGCCATCCTACCCTTGACTATACCCTCACTGCTACCACTCTAGACACCCCGGCACGGCACCTACTGTGTGCTGAACACTCTTCGAAGCCCTTTGCATATGTTATATATCATCTCGGTTAAGGCCCGTGACAGCTCCACAGGCGGATGCTATTGCCACCTCTGTTTTCAGATGGGAACGCAGAGGCTCCGAGAGGTTGTCTTAGTTGCCCAGGGTCATAGACATGGTGATAATATGTGGCAGATCTGGGATTCACACCTAGGTGGTGCGGCTTCCAAACGCGTGCCCTTGGCCGTGACTCCGTGCTGCCTCTTGCTGTGACTGTTCTCTGATCTGGGGCCGTCCTGCAGCTCTCAGCATTTCCTCCAGAGCCTCTTGCCCCCACGTCCTTCTGCATACTACCTGACCCGTGACTCCCTTGCAATTTACCTTGTCTTGCAGCTTAACTTCTTCCTTTGTCCTTCTGCCAAAGCCGCCCAGCAAAGCCTCCACCCTGCCTCCTCCAAGTCTATGCCCAAACTGCTAAGCCTCATGGGTGAAAAGGAAATCACCAGCCAGCACGTCTCTGGGATCACTCAGACCTTCAAGGCTCCGGGGGAACCTTCCCCCCACCCAGTCAGTGCTCATCAGCCCCCTCACTGGGACCACACCTCCTCCTGGATGCACTCATGCCCCTCCCGTCCTAAAACAAAACCAGACCCTCCTTCAACCCCACATCTGCCTCCACTTAACACCCTCTCCCCTTCCTCAAAGCACTGTCTACACTCCCTACCTGTCTACACTTTACCTCTGCAAGGCTCATTCCACTCCAATCTGGTTGCTGTCCCATCACGCTCTCTCTCTCCTCATTGCTGAAATCAGCAGACGAGGTTCAGTCCTTAGCTAACCCGACCTCTCCACAGCTTTGGCCCTGCTGAACCCTCCCTCTGGAAGCATTCCCTTCCTCTTGGAAACAGGCTCCTTAAACTTCATCTTCTCCCACAAAGCCCAGATACCCAGCCAGAAACCCGGATTTCAGCCTCGCTCTTCCTTCTCCCTCAGGCTTTCCTCCACACGTTTCCAACCCAATCCATCGCCAGTCCCCTGCAGATTCTTCCCTCTGTGTCTCTAGAAACCATCCCTTCCTCTTCAGTCTCCATGCTGCCCCACCCACTCCCCTCCCCCATCTCTCCCTGCTGCATCCCTCCTGGGCTCCCCACTGCTGCCTCCTGGCTGGCTTCTTCCAGGTGGCCCCCTTGATTTTGCTCAAGTGGAGCCGAACTCAGCAGGTGCAGTCAGGTGAACATGCTGCCCCTTGTGCCTGAAACGTGGTCGACTTCCCCTTCACCTGGTTAACTCCAGCTCAACCCTCGGAGTGCAGCTGGGCAGTCACTTCCGCCAGAAAGCTTTGCCCAACTCCCCAGATCCGCAGGTCAAGTCAGGTGTCTGGGTCTGCATCCTCCAGCGTTCGTCCTGGAAGACCAGCATTATATCCACCTTATAGCTGCAGTGGAGTGCCTGACTGTCCCCAGGGGCCCAGGGAATGCTGGTTAAACAAATGGTGAAGAGAGGAGTTGGTCACAGGGGTGTCCTGCCTTCCTGGCTTCACCTGGGTCCTGGTTTTGAAGTGACTCTGTGCCCACTTCTCTCTGATTCCCTGATCACTTTGGGCCTTGGAAAGTGGTGGCTGTCAGCAGGGCCGGGACTGGAGGTGGGTCCTGGGGCAGATTCTCACGGAGTTACATAGAACAGGGAGGGATCAGGGTCAGCAGAGGGGCCCAGGGCAGCCACTGCATGCTATATGTCCCCTTCCCTTGTTTCCCTCTACGTCTTTCTCATCTCTTTTCGGAGAAGTCTGTCCTGGGCTACAGGTACCTGACCTCTTGTCTGGGCACTACTCCGTTCTGCTGGGGTTTCAGGCTGGTCGGAGCCTGTCCTCAAGACTCCCTCAAGACTCCCCTCCTGGCCGCCCTCTCCCGCTGGTCTCATCCCCTTGGCCCCCCTCCAACCTCCCCCAACTCGTGGGGCTTTCACTTGCCTGAGCCGGTCGGACGGACGCTTCTCTGAGCAGCCCGGGCCAGCCGGAGGTCAGGATCCCGCGGGCGCCGGGGGGCGGGGGGCGTGCGGGGCGTGGGGGTGGGGGGCGCAGGCCCGGCTGCCCGGCCCCCGGCGGCCGCGGGCGGGGGGAGCAGCGGGCGGCGGGGGCCGGGTGCCCCTCGCGCAGCGTCGCTGCGGGCGCTGGGCCCCTGGGCGCCCGGGCGGAGCGGCGTTCTCACGGAGTGTCCTCCTCTCTCCCGCGCCGCACCGCCCCTCTCCCCTTCCCTCCTCTAGTTCGGCGGCTTCTAGCACCTTGCTCTGAGCTCCCAGCACCCCCGCGGTCTCCGGCCCGGACTTTGGGGGGCCTGGGATGCCGACGTTGCCACTCTGGAGCGAGGGACGTAGGTGGCACGGTTCCGTCTGCAGCCCCTTCCCTGGAGGGTGCGGGGGTGGAGCTGTGGGGGCAGGGAGACTTCGGGGGAAGGGGCTTGATTTGAGCCACCCTTCCCCAATCACCACCCACCAACCCCCCCCCAGAATGGGGTGTGGCCACGAGCCCCTTCCAGGAGGCGACACTATCTCCCAGTGGGATCTGGAAGGGCCTATTGGGGATGAGGGGGTGGGGAGGGAGGACTAGGTGGGAGACTGAGGTGCTGACTTCCAGAACCCGGAGGTGTTCAGCTGGAAGAGCATCTCCTCCAGCCTCTGCCTTCATTCATTTGCTCATCCATTCATAAACCCTTCCTGATGTGAACCATGTGGCCCCCAACCTTCCTCCGGACAGGGGCCCTTCGAAGGAGGCACTACACCCCGTCCTCTGGCTGCAGAGGAGGAAACTGAGGTGCAAGTCCCCATGGCCTCTTGCCCAGCACCCCGTGCACTCTGGGGGATGCAGAGGCAGGATGTGAGTCATCCCCAGACTCCAGCCCCAGCGTGGTCAGTCCTCCCGATCGGCCAGCAGGGCTGTGACCTCCGGGGCTGTCTGGACCAAGCACTCTCCACTTCGGTGTGTTCTCTGAACCATGGTTGACTTTCTCTTCACCTGGCTAACTCCAGCTCAGCCTTCACCGTACAGCTGGGACATCACTTTCCTCAGGAAGCCTCCCTTAACTTCGCAGTCCAGCAGGTCAGATCCGGTGTCCAGGTCTGCACATCCTCCAACTTTCTTCCTTGAGGACGGCATTATATCCACCTTGTGGGGCCAGCTGGGCACAGCCACAGTTGACGTCAGAACAGGGCTCTGGGACAGAACTGATTTCATTTATTGAACAGACCCCTGGAAGAGCTGGGTCCAATGACCTGTCCCTGCCCACACCCACTCCATGTGGAAATACTGGAGGGTTCCAGAGCTGCTCAGAGCTGAGAGAGCACTTCCCCCGCTAACACGACCCCCCACGCCACCCTGCCCACTTGGCCCAACATCACCTTCCAAAGCATGGGTGTGGAGAAGGCATGAGCTCCACATGGACCCTCCTGTGACCAGGTTGAGGGGGCGGGGGGGTTGGGGTGGAGATACACTTGGGAGGATGCATCTGGACATTCACTTAGACTGGAGGGAAGGAGGTCTCAGGGGTCTAGTTCCAAGGGTCTTTTAAACCCCTACCTAGTTCTTCCCCAGTGGACATAGCCCTTGCCTTTTTATGTGTTCATGCCTCAGGTTATTCTGCTCTGATCCCCTACACCATTCTGTGCTGGGCTCTGCCAGTCAGTGAAGATACCAAAGCCCTGCCTTGGGGAGATCATGCTGCGGGAGGGTTGGTGGCGGGCCAAGGGGTCCCACCCTCCCCACAGCTCAGGCCCCACTTCCCCCATTCCCACCCCTTCCATCCTTGGGCATCATTCTGGGGTGCTTCAGGTGAAGATTGAAGATGGGCAGGAGGAAGGGTTTCCTTACTGATCAAGGGGGGCCCCCAGGCCCGAGTTATGCACTGATAATGCTGCTGAGGGAACGGAGAAGGGGCAGCGAGCAGGCGGGATGGGGGGCGGAGAGGAGGGAAGTGCAAGGGGGGCTGGAGGAAGCCTGGAGGAACCACAGGCTTCATGACTGGCCAGCATTTATGAGTGGAGGCCTGTCGCACTGTGGCCAGGGGCTTGGTCCCTGTGCAGAGCACAGCAGCGGGTAGGGGCTCTGGTGGGGAGACAGAGGAGCCCTGGATACAAGGCCTGTCTGTCCAACCTCTCACCGCAGGACTCGATGAAGTCCCTTTCTCTGGAGGGCCTCAGCTTTCCCATCTGTACAATGACGTGGTCTCTGCCACTTTTGGTTTGGTTTTACAACATTCACTGGGTACCTGTGGGCCTGGTCCTCTGGCCCGGGCTCTCGAGAGGAGGAAGTAGACAGGGACCACTCAGAGTGATGTGGGCTGTGATGGACAGAAGCCCTGGGGCTGGGGGAGCACAATGAAGTCAGGGGAGGCTTCTGAGAGGAGGTGTCATCTGCACTGATCCTTGAAGAATGAGACTCTTCCCAGCTTGTCCTCTGCTCAGAAACCAGGACAGAAGCCTCATGGAGCAGATGGTTCTGTGGAGGTCAGACCCTGCTCCACCCTGAGGGTGTAGGTGAGTGAGGAGGGGCGTGGAGGGCGTAGCCACGTCTTCTGCACAGCCACACACACCTGGGCCAGGTCCTCCTTGCCCCAAACCCTGTGGGTACATGGGTCTTGACGTGGATCTCCAGGGAAAGACTGGGGATTGTTTTTCCATTAAATTTAAGCCACTAACAGCTTTTTAAAAGAGTTTTTTTGACACAGAGAGAGAGAGAGCGAGCACAAGCAGGGGGAAGGGGCAGAGGGAGAAGCAGGCTTCCCGCCGAGCAGGGAGCCCAATGCGGGGCTCGATCCCAGGACCCCAGGATCATGACCTGAGCTGAAGGCAGACGCTTAATCGACTGAGCCACCCAGGTGCCCCTAAGCCGCTGACATTTATTGAGCACCTACTGTGTGCCCTGACAGTGACCAGAAAAGGGCAACGTACAGTAGGTTTTAGTAGGATTAGTAATTGTTCTGTGAAAAAGAAGCCTTCAGCCTGCCTGGCCACTGTGGAGAGAGGGAGGCACAGACAAAGGAAGGGGATGAGGAGGGTGTTGTGTTAAGGGGATCCTTGGAACTGGGCCTTTCAAGGTGGGGGCTTTTTTTTTTTTTTTTAAAGATTTTATTTATTTATTTTGAGAGAGAGAATGAGATAGAGACAGAGAGAGCATGAGATGGGGGAGCGTCAGAGGGAGAAGCAGACTTCCTGCTGAGCAGGGAGCCCGATGCGGGACTCGATCCCGGGACTCCAGGATCATGACCTGAGCGAAGGCAGTTGCTTAACCGACTGAGCCACTCAGGCGCCCGCTTTTTTTTTTTTTTTTTAAGATTTTATTTATTCATTTTTGAGAGAGAGAGAGCATGGAAAGGGTAAGGGGCGGAGGGAGAAGCTGGCTCCCCGCTGAGCAGGGAGCCCGATGCGGAGCTTGATCACCGGGATCATGACCTGAACTGAAGATGGACACTTAACCGACTGAGCCCCCGAGGTGGGCAGAGAGGAATGGGAGGCCTCCAAGAGAACACAAGCCAAAGCTTGGAGGCTGGAATGTTTGAGATTGTTCAGGAGCAGTGAGAGGGCGGGGGCGAAGAGGGAAGGCTGGCGTCTTGTCTGGAGTCAGATCACCAAAAGCCTTGAAGGGTGGAGTCACATACAAGAGTCAGGACAGGACTCAGCTCAGGAGCCACCTCCTCCTGGAAGCCTCTGGGTCGGTGCCTCAAATGGCCTCCGCGTCATGGCAGTGACCATTTTGTCTGTCCAGGCCATGCTCCTATCCGGTTCACTGCTGCAAAGAGCCTGTCCCTGAGGAGTTGCCCAGAGTTTTTGCGAACCTGAAAAAATCTGGTCCAGCCCCTCCACCTAGCCAGTGAGCTCTAGAGGCCCAGGGCCAGGCCTTAAGGGCTGAGGGATCCCATCTGTGGTTGCTGTGGGCCTGTGGTTCATTTCTTTTTTTTTTTTTTAAAGATTTTATTTATTTATTTGAGAGAGAGAGAATGAGAGACAGAGAGCATGAGAGGGAGGAAGGTCAGAGGGAGAAGCAGACTCCCTGCCGAGCAGGGAGCTCGATGCGGAACTCGATCCCGGGACTCTGGGATCATGACCTGAGCCGAAGGCAGTCGCTTAACCAACTGAGCCACCCAGGCGCCCCCTGTGGTTCATTTCTGTGGCCAGCCTGGAGCAAGAGACTGAGATATCTCTGGCCCCAAATTCCAGAGAAACCAGTGAGTAGATCAAAAAGGGAAGGATGCTGAGCTGCAGTCCAGAGAGAAAAAACCAGGTCAAAATCCTGATACAAGGGCCCCCTGTGGAACGTCCAGCAGTACCCCGCTTCAGGCCCTGCCCAATGCTGCCACATGGAATCCATTTGCAAGAGCTTTGCCCAAGCGAATGCAGGGCTGGTGTCTCCAGGGCCCGGTTCACCTCTGGTTTGGACCCAGGAGGGCTGTGAGATCAGGGTAGCAGGCAGGGAGGGCAGGGTGTAGCCCCTCAGCCCCTGCCTCAGCCCTCCCCAGTCCCCCGGGCCCCTGGCTTCAGCTTCTCCAGTGTTCTGCTCACCGTGGACAGGCTGCTGCGGGTTCCTGGGGGAGAGACCAGGACAGGGCCACCTGAGCAGACAGACTCCGGAGCAGAGCAACCCAGAGGGACCACGGGGGAGAGAGGGGCATCCCAGGGGACCATTTCTGCTGAATTTAAAGAGGCACAGATGGTCAGAATGGCCCTTCAAGAGGACAGCAGCATGGTGGGGGTGGTTAGAGAGAGGACTCTGGGGCCAAATACCTGGTTTCAGGTCTGGCCCCACCACTTCCTAGTTGCCTGACTTAATCTCCCTGTGCCTCAGTTGCCCCACATATAAAGTGGGCCTAATTACAGTACCTTCCTTATGTGGTTGTTTTGAGAATGGAACAAACTAACATACGTAAGTGTTTGGAGCAGGGTCTGGAAGGGGACCTTTTGCTGGGATTAGGCATCCTCCACTGGTGGTAGATGCTGTGGGCTGGGGCCATCTTTGAGAAACTCCTGCCCTAGAATTTTCCAGTGTGTGGAGATGGGAGAGGAGGAAGATGTTCCATTTCAGGTACCAGCTCTGAGAGTTGGATTCCGTCATTGGAGAAGAGAGTGAAAATGTAAACTGGGGCATGGGACCTAGGGATGGTCCCAGTGTCCATGGTGGGCATGAGGGAGAAGGCCTGAAGTCAAACAAGAGGGGCCCGGCTCAGCTTGGAGCAAGAGGGGTTTTGACCAAACACATGGCAGAACTGCCTGATATGCTGGCTCCCGGTGACTGGGGACGTCCCTTCTGCGTGCCTCTCAAGGCTTCTCCCAGGGTCTCACAGAGCTGCTCAGCCAAAGAGCAAAGATGGAAGATGGACTGGAATTTTTAAAACTTACCCTCTTTATTGCCATTGGCACTGGATCTTCCCTCCCCATGGTCTGGCCCTGGGTGGGGGTGGATTCTCAGGCTCCCTGTGGGATAAGACCACCCCAGGCCCCATGGTTACTAAGCCATTCTCAGATCAAGTCTTGCTTTGGGAAGGGAAGTCCTTCCTGCTGTCTCATCTCCATCCCTGCTGCTGTCTTTGCTCCACCACATTCCTGGAGGTGTCCCACATGATTAGGGAGTGGAGTTGGAAGAAACGGGCCCTTGAAGGGGAGGAGGGCAGACTTTTTAAGGAGGTGGGCATCATGGGGAGAACTAGGAATATATAAAGCCCCCCAGGATTGATGGAGATGGTAGCATGTATGTGGGGGGCAGAGATGAGTTGAGGAGCTATACAGGGGTCCTGAGGTCTTAGGAGTGGTAGAGGGTGTTTATGGGGGCTCACGGAATGAAATGGGCTTATCTGGAGATCTTGGAGGCTTTGGGGGAGTTGGAAACTCTCGGGGGGAGATGGGAGTTCTGGGTGCTCTGAGCTGGCTGAGGCACATTTGTAGCAACAGGCTGGAGTCCGCTGCACGGTAGTCATGGCAACGCCCGCACACCGCACCTTGTGCGCACGAGCGCGTGCACACACACACACACACACACAGCCAGGAGCAGTCACACACATGGGCTCGGCTCCACCGCACAGTGTGCCACAGACTTACACACAATGGGTCTCACCCAGCGGTCCCTGGAAGAGGGCTCTGCTGGGGGCTGGGGGAGGACTCACCTATGGTGGGCAGAATGTGGTCCAGGTTGAACCGAGCCTTTAGGAACGGGTAGGCCAAGATGAGGAGCCCTGAGAAGAGAGACAGAGGGGTTCTGTGATGGGGAAGGGGCCTGGTTAGTGCCGGCTGCATGAAGCTGTGGGTAGGCTGTGAGCCTGGGGGTGTTTTCTGAGGGGGATATGGGTGTGCGTGGGAGGAGCATGAGTGTGTAGGTTGGGACTGTGGGTGCATAAATGTGAGCCTGTGAGTGTTGGGAGGGGGCGGCCCCCCAACACCCAGCCCTAAGCGGGGGCAGGGAGTCGTGCCTATCTGGGGAAGGGGCTCCAGGCTGTGAAGGCCCAGGCTCCTGGCTCCAGCCTGCCCAGGTGATTAGCATGGTTGGCTTCCTTCCTTCTCGGCCGGCTGGAAGTGGGCCCAGCGGACATCACCACCGACTCTCCTTTGCCCCACCCCCCCGTAGGGCAGGACTGGGAGCTCCTGAGCAGGCTCCTTCCCACCCAGACCTGGGGAGGGCTTAGCAGAAGAGTGGATGGTGCCCTACCCACCCCCATTTTATCCGCAGACCAAGTGTTTGTGGCCTTTGGCAGGAGTTTGCAGATCCGGATGCCAAGAACCCACCAGCCGGGTGCTTCTGGCTCTGCTTTTGCCCCAGTGTGGTGGAGTGGGGAGAGGGATGGTACTCAGCATCGTTGTGGGGATATCAGTGGGACTGGCCCAGATAGACAGATGGTCAGATGCCTGGAGAGTCAGACAGAAGCCCTGCCAAGGTATACCAGGAAAGTTGGATCTTATCTTGGCTCACAGAGTGTCCCGTTGGGACCTCTGAACTCTTTTACCTGCCCCCTGTCAACCCACCCCCAACAGGCTGATGAATTCCACCAAAAACCCAAGGGCCCAGAGCTTGGACCTAGAGGACCAGAGGGGGAGCAGCCAAAGAGGAGTGTGGCAGCCAGCTCCCTTCTCCACAGTGTCCTTATCCCTGGCAGAAGGAACCTCACCCCAACCCTCCTCTGCCTCCCCGCGCCCCGACAGCTGCCTTGCTCACACCTCTAGCTTCCGTCCTCCCCAACCAATTCCTGTTGAACCAGCCCTTCCCTCCATTTCTCATTCACCGGACCATGCCCCTGCTCCCTCTCTGAGCCCGGCACCTGCTCACCCAGACCGGCGGCGCCAATAAAGATGCCACCCACGGCAGCTGCAGCTTTGGACACGGACACACCAATGATGATGCTGCCGGCCACCAGGCCGAGGGCCACACAGGCCAGCTGTAGGCAGCGGAAGTCTCTGCTGCTGATGGGGATGTCCATGCAGGCCTGCCCAGGGTACTTCCTGCAGCCGGTGGCGCCTGTCCCCAGGAAAGCCCTGGAGGGCTCGGTTCTCTTGGATGTGTCTTTGTTGGAGCTCCACCTTCAGAGTGGGAATTTCTGGGCAGGAAGATTCGGGGCTAGTAACCCTATCCCACCGCTCCCCTAGGGGCCCCCAGCCGCACCCTGACCTAGAATCCCTGCCAGGTCACGCCAGCCTACTCTTCCTCTCATGAAGGCCCCTGAATCTGGAGGCCACTCTTGGGACTCTTGCCTGATCACATCCTGCCTTGGCTGTCAGAGTCCTGGGGAGCCTTCCTGTCCCACCGGGTCCCCCCTGTTAGCTTCCTCTCAGGAGGGCTCAGCCTGAGCTGCTCTGCCCAGGACATCCTGCCCTTGCTGTCTGGAGCCTGCTCGGCTGCCACTGGGCCTTGGCCTATTAAAGTTTAAAGCAGTGGAGGAGGTTGGTCCAGGGGCCACGGGTTCCTCGGAGATGCAGGCAGCTGGGAGGTCCTGAGTTATTCATGAGGCTGCAATGTGAGCTGCTGCCTGCCCCAGAGGCCAGCTGGGGCTCTCAGCCCAGGTTCCGCTGCTGGTTCCTGAGGGGGTAGGATAGACTGGCGGCTTCCCGTGCGGCTTCGCAGCCAGGGATGTGAGGAGACTCCCTGGCCACATTCTCAGGGCCCACTCTGCGCTCTTCTGCCATTTGGCACACGGGGCTTCTGCTAGGGACTCAGAGGCGGGCATGGGAGGGGACCTGGAGGAGGCTCAGCGACTGGGACAGGAGAGACAGGAACAGTGACTGGGACAGGAGGAGAGAAAGAGGTATTCCACTGAGTTCGTGCTCTTCCCCTTGCCCCTCTGCCAGCCTGTCAACCTCCGGTCTCCTACAGGGAGCAGGGCTGAGGGGTCCTGGTTTGAGGCTGATTTCAGGGGACCTCCTTCTCCTCAGGTAGGCTTGGTATCCACCCCCTTAGTTGCCAATGGGCTGAGAGGGCGAGCCCCCCAGCCCTCCTGGGATCCCTGGCAGGGGGCTGAGAAGGAAGAGCAGGAAGCAGATGGGGGAGGGGGAGGAGATGGGGTAGGAGGAAACAAATATGGGGAGAAGGATTGGCAGGGACTGGGTGCCAGTGGCCAGGGGACATGGCTAGCACCTCCTGTCTAACGTACTTGCAGGACCCACCAATTCAAGGCTGGGCAGTGGTAGCCCAGCCCAGCCCTAACCCATCCCCAGACCCGGCCCTCGCCATCTACTGCATTCTCTGGACCTTGAAGGATCAGGGCCTCCCTGATCCCCGAATCTGGACCTGGTCCTATGCCTGCACTTAGGCATCTGGGCCCTCTTCCCAGGGTCCCATCACCAGCCCCACTGGCCTCTGTGCGTGCCTCTGTCTCCCCACGATGTCTGCCACCCAACATAGCCAGGCCACGGCCCTCCGCCTCCACAGGGACCCCTGCCCCTCGCTCTGCCCCTTCTCTGCTGCTGCCCTTCTGCTGAGTGTCTGCTCGGCCAGCCCCAAGTCTGTAAAGCCATTCCTGATGGTGCCTGAGTGGGTGGGCTGCCTACCACTGCTCCCCCATCATCTGTCCTGTTCTCTGCCTCCTCTGTAGACTGTGAGCCCCTCACGGGCCGGTTCAGGGAGTGAGCCCCACAGAATGCCCCGAGAGGACCTGGCTTCTGAACACAAGGCAGAGCTCAGGGAGGGCCTGGGCCCGCAGGACCACCTCAGGCCAGCAGGGAGGAGGGCCATGGGCCCCGTGGGACCTCCGTCTCTAACAAGGGGCTTTCCTTGGGCAGGGGTGGGGGCCTGAGAAGGCCAGGGTCACCGGACTGAGCTTCAGCGGAGGTAAGGCACTGCCGGGAGGCTGGAGAGGGGCCTGGGCAAGGACAGGTGTGAACTCAAAGGTACACAGAGAGGAGGGGGACTGCAGAGCGCCAGTGGCCCCCTGGCTGTGTTCCGGGCCCCCATAAGAGGAAGCCCCCGGAGGTGGGGATTCCCCAGCTACAGCAGCTGCGGTCAACGTCCCCTGTGCCGCTCTCCAGGACGAGGTCTGATTATTCCTCTAATTAGGCATCAAATGACAGCCCATGTCTCTGTCACACGTAATTGATCCCCCACTGACTAGTTTTAGAAGGAGCTGTCAAAATAATTGTCTATGACAATGTGTTCCTGAGATGTTGAGCTCTGGGAATCTCAACACCTCACCCCCAGTAAGTGTTTGCATAACTAGCTGGGCAGGGGCGTAAGGCTGAGGGCGGCCCCCACACCATCAGCAGGACAGGGCACCTCACACTGTGGGACCTGGCCAGCCGCTCACCTCCTGAACCTCACTTTGCCCACCTGGTGAAGGCGGATGCCGATGGCAGAGGCTGGAGGCAGGGAGGCCTGTGCATTGTGAGTTTCAGACCCCAGAAGAACACTGTAACCTCTAAAAACGAGACCAAATTCGAAATTAGAGGGTTTTGTTTTTGGTTTTGGTTTTGTTTTGACCTTGTAAATCCCTCAGGGCCCAGAGACATAAGAGGAAATATGGAGGAGAGACACAGGAAAGCATTATCAGTTACAAGATCACAGAACTACAAACCCATCCAAGCTCCTTATGGAATAGATGGGGAAACTGAGACATGGGGAGTGGAAGGATGGCCCCAGAGTCCTTGAGAGAACTTCGGTGTCCAGATTCTGTGCTCAGCTGGGAAGTAGCATTTCTCTGTCCCTGAATTTCTAACTTGTTCTATTTGAGGTGGGAGGAATTGGCAACCATACCGTCAGAGGGAGACACTGTGTTCAGTCAAGGCCTCCATCTTTTCCCTCTTGACAGGGGAGTGTCATTAAAGGCTACTTGAAACCTTTGTGATGCCTGCTCTCCTGTTGATTGGAAATGTAGAGAGGGAGGCTTGCTTATTCTTTCCTCAATACAGGCTGTTTCATCTGCGAGAAAGAAAACACAAACTTGTCCTTGGGTGATGTGCTTCCTATCATAGGTACAGGAGGTGGAAGCCCGAGTCACTAGAGGATGATTGCCCCACCTGTTCCCCACCTCGCAAGCCTCAGAGCCCTCCTCGCTGAAGCCTGGGTCCCCGAGGCCTCTGGATCTGGGTCGGCGCGTTGGAGGTGCGTAGGGCCCAGGTCACAGCTGAGTTCTGCCACAAAATCTGTTTCCCGGCGAGGTCCGGGCCAGAGTGCGTGCCTATGCTCTTTCCTCCCCAGAGGTGCCGAGTCCAAGGCTGGCATGGGCTGGGGAGGAGGAGGGGGTGAAAAGGCCTCAGTGTGGTTTAGTTCCGTTTATTTTCCTTGAGGGGTAAGGACCCTGGAAAAGAGCGTGATTAATGCCCCGGTCCCCTGGGGGACGGGCCGCTTTCCCAGACTGTTCAGAAGCTGAACTCGGGGAAGTGGCTTCCAAGGCAACTGCTACCATGGCAACAAGAGTGCCAGCTGAGGGGGGACCTGGCTCCTGGCTCCGGGGAGCTGGCATGGGACCAGGGCACTGCTGTTCGGGAGCGGGGTCTGGTGAGAGGCATTCGGCCAGCAGGGAGAAGCGGCCCCCGAGAGCTCAGGCGGGTGGACATCTGGAGGGAGGAAGGCTTGGCTCCTGTGCCCAGGCCCCCAGACAGGGGTTAGACAGGAGTCCTGCTAACTGGGTTAGAGGCAGGAGGCCTGAGGTCTGGAACACGCCGGCTGGCTGGGACCAGCTTCCTCCTAAGGCCCGGTCCACACCTGAGCCCTAGAGCCAAGGGACTGGCCGCCACAGTTCCAGGCCCCAGAGCCTCCCTCAGTGGGTCTGCCATACCTCCCCCTGCCTAGTAGAGCCAGGCACATGGCCCGGGCCTCAAAAAGGGCAGGGGACTTCCCAAGGTCACCCAGTGAAGAGTGGCAGGACTAGAACCCAGGACCCCTGATCCCCAAACGCAGACAGCTGCCCCTTGGGGACAGGGACCGCAGCCCAGAGGGGCAGAGCACCCTGTTGGCAGAACCCCACAAAGGGCCAGAGGCCGGGCCCATCTGGAAAGCGCAGATCCATCTCCACACATGCCAAGGAAAGGGGGGGAAACTGGTCTCCGTCGCTGGCTCCGAGTAGAGGGACTGTGCCCTGTGCTGAGGAGACGGCAGTAGGAAGGACCATAACTGCCGGAGCCAACCCTGGCCCGCGCGCTGGCCGTGCGCGCCCGGAACTGCTCTAACCACTCGACATTTAATCCTCATTTCACAACAGGACCAGGAGGTAAGCCCTAGCAGCCCCAATTTTTGGTTGAAGGAACTGCTGCCCTCAGAGACTGAGTCGCTTGCCCAGGGCTCACAGCTAGTTAAGTGGCAGAGCTGGCATCTGAAGTTGGGCAGCACGGCTGTGTCCCACGTCTCTCTGCGGAGAATCCCGGTTCTGTCTTCCTACCTGTACATCAAGGTCTTTCTTTCTCCGATCAGTTCTAAGTGGGGTGACGTAATGGTACCTCACCTCACACGATGGCTCTGAAAATTAAAGGAGATAATGCCTGGACATTTCTCCGCCAGCGGCTGTTGCTTAGCGCATGACAACACGAACAAAACCGAAGGAGGCGCCGTAGCATTGAAGCAGAGCCGGGAAGGATGACAGCGGCCTCGCCAGGTGGCCCAGGGTGGGGAGGCGGGCTGGTAGAGGGCAGCGCCTGAGCAAAGGCACGGAGGCCTGAGAGCTGGCTGGAGCTCTACCCAGAACGAGCCCAGGAAGCCCCTGGAAATCACCTCTCAGCTGGCCAACCCGAAGGACTGATGGGCTGGGGCTGGAGTCGGGACAAAACTCATACCCTGGTAGTCCCCAGGGACTGGGAGACTTTGGGCCAAAAGGCTTAGATTCTGCAGGCCTGTTTTTCCAGCCCATCCGCCTCCAGCGAGAAGCAGGGATGGGAGGGTGCTGACAGTTGCTGCAAAGGGAAGACTGTCATCAGAAAGGATGTCAGCGTCAAGATGGAGGCACTGATGCTGCCGGATGGCCCCCAGACTGAGGAGCCGCTGACCCTATCTCCCCTCTCCCCAGGGAGAGAAGCTGCCGGCAGCACCTTGTCTGCTGCCCTGGCCTTCAGACCTCCCTCCTGCTCCGGCTTGGGAACTTCTAAAGCCCCTTCCCACCCCAGCCCTCTCCAGTGTGGTTCTGAGGGTGACACAGGACAAAGCACACAAAAGCCCTTTGCATGGTGAACACGAGAGCTGCAGACGTGAGGCACCAGTTTTCTTCGTTCTAACTCTGGCAAGTCCTGGGCACACAACAGATCCTCAAGAAAGGCTTAGTGCTGCTCCAGACTGAGGGGACCTTCGCTCCTGCTTGGGCGCGTGGCTGGCCTGGGCACAGGGCACACCCATTAAGGCGTTGTTTGAAGCCGGTTTGTGTGACGGCTGCTGATGCCTCGTCTTCCACCTGACAGGGAGACCCTACAGGACAGAGGCTGTTTCTCACTCCTTTCTGGGTCCTGGCACAGAATAGGAGACTGACCAATGTTGAGGAACTTCATTTCCTCGCCTAAAAAAGAAAAGCAATGATCTCTCCTTCACCTTGTTTTGTGGATCCAGTGAGGGGCTAGATTTAGAGGTCCCAATTAGGGGCACCTTCTCCCCACTGGGCTGGACCCGGCCCCGCTCCAGAAGGCCTGTCTCCCTCTCAGGTTCACAGGGGAGGAAAGGACCACCAGAAAGGCCACAGCTAGAATTTAAAACAGTTTTATTAAAACAAGCACACTGTATAATAGCACTGCTGTGTGTCTGTCTGACTTGTACAGATCCATTTTCTTTAGGCAGCTGGGCAGCTCGGCTTCTCGGGGGACCAGATGCGCCCTCAGGCTCTCTGGCAGCAGGCCGGCACATGGCTCGGACCAGGGCTGCCTGCGATCTGGTGCTACATCGGGCACGGAGCCCCTTCTAACTGCCCTGGACTGGTGCTGCCCTCCAGCAGACACAGCCTCTAAGTCACTCGTCATCTTAACAGCTTAAAACCAATTAGAATAACAGGAAACAGCTGAATAAAACCTTCCACATGCATGGACATTCAAGGAAGAGCACGCCATGACATGTTCTGGAAAATCCGCTGGCTTGCAGTGGGAGTTTAAAGTCCCATCTTTGCTGCAAGTGCATGGTTAAAAAAACAAACATTTTTTTAAACGAAATAATACGGACTTCAGCAGCAATCCCAAACAAGGAAGAGGATGATAAATGAGGGACACGTTTTGGTCCCAGCAAAGAAAGATTATGTGCTTCTCCCGTACCACAGACTGGAAGACCGATCTGGCCTCCTGAACGCGGAAGGCTCCCTGCCCTTTCCTGAATTGAGGGGATGGCTTCACTCAGCCGAGGGGAGGACATCCGGAGGACAAAGGAAGGACCAGCGGGGGGTGGGGGGGGGCAGTGACAGTGTAGGGAGAGTCAAGAGCCTCTGTCAACTGCCGCTTCTCAATCCTGGCTCCCTGAAGGCCGCAGCCCCAGCCCGCTGCTGCCCGCCCGCCCAGGAGAGCAGGCGGATCCTGGATCTGCAGGCGGGTGAGCAGGTGGGCGGGAGCCCGGCAGAGATGTCCCTGCCGCAGGCGATTATGCAAAGTGACAAGTGATTGCTTTCCTTTTCAAAGATAACCCCTCCGGATGGAGCTTTTCCCTTGAAGACTCCGGGGAGATGGGGGGTTGGGTGGGAACCTCAGGGCCTTGGCCAGGACGGGGGGCCACGGAGCAGCTTCCTCTGCGTGCTCTGCAGACTTTGGCTGCACCGGGCGGGCCGAGGTCCGGGAAGCCGTGGCCGGAGTGGGTCAGAGTGCGGCGGGAGTTGGGCACGGTTCCGGGTCGCCTCTGCGGCCTGCCTGGGCCAGGGCCCTCCGGCGGGCCAGGCGCGACTTGCAGGGAGGGGAGAGCCTCACAGAGCAGAGGCCCTCGACCAGCGACTCGGACTCCTCTGCCAGCTCGTCTTCCTCGCGCTGAGAAAGCTGGCGGTTAAGGGCGATGGCCTCAGCTGCGAAGAGCGTCAGGTCCATCGTGCTGCTATTTCTACAGGGGCAGGCAGCACAGAGCAGAGGGAAGCAGGGCTCAGCGCCCTGGCCAGCCCACTCCCGCACCCCCCGAGGCTTTTTCTGGGCTGCTCCTCCCTCCCCTGCCCCCCCCCCGCAGAGTCGTTCTTGCCCAGGTTTGCAATCTGATTTCACTGAGGCTGCAATGGCTTTGAGCCTCAACTACAGTCCTTGGACTTAGGAGTTGGGACAAATGTCCCCTTCTGTTCAGAGCACCCTCCTCCGCGCTCCCACGCTCTGCACCCAGCTCTCCCAGAGGAAGGGCCTGGCACATGAAGCGCGCCCCCATGTATCCCCCTCCCCCGTCAGGGTGGGGAGCTCCAAGAGCAGGGGCCGGGCCCTTGTGTCTGTATCCCGGGGCCCAGCCGGGCTAGCATACAGCAGGCACGTGGGTCTACTGGATACATCTTCTAAGGTGGACCACAGGTTCGGAGCCTCAAGGCACCTGGACGCAGCTCCAGAGAATCAGGCCGGCCCACCCCCGGCAGCAGCATTCTGGCTCACCCCAGTGGCGATTACAGTGATGTAAGACTTCCCGTGTGACTCCCAGCACCTGGTCATGAGGTGGCTCCCTGGAGGGCTTCCCACAGTGTGGTAGCCCTGGTCCTTTGGGAATAGGGCAGTGCTCACTAGGAACACGGTCTGGTGTTAAAGGGCACCAGAGTCAAACGATCCAGGTTCAAAGTCCAACTCCCCAAGGCAACTGTGTGGCCCTGAGTGAGTTACCTCAATCTCTATTCTTGGTTTTCTCATCCATAAAATGGGGTAATAGGAACACCTTTCCTTTAAATTTATCATAAAGATTATGAATAGAATCTCTGTAACGCCCTTAGCACCATATCCTGCGTGTGGTATGCATTTACTATAGCGTGGTCATTACTATTACTGTGTCTAGTGGTGACAGGACAACTGGTCCTACTGCCTCACAGTGCCCCCTCCTGCTACTGTCACCAACCCGCAGCTGAGGGAGGGAACCTTGGGGTGACCTACAGATAAGGTCTTTGGGCTATAAATGGTGATTTCTAGTTAGATGCAAGCAGACATGGAAACAGTTTTTTCTCCTGCAAACAGCACCTGAGGGGCCTTGAAGGAGCTGGAGGGCAGGGGAGGCCGTCAGGTGGCAGCAGAGAAGAGGGGAAAGAGGGCAGGCCGGGGAGCCCCTTCAGGAGGATGACATCTGAGCCTAGAGCTAGGCTCCCTACCCCACCTCCACCCCAACGTGGCTGAGAGTTTGAGGGAAAGTCAAAGCCAAAGCAAGAAGGGCATCAGGTGTGGTTGGAGCATTTACCTCTGGAGGACTTGCGGCGTGGGGAGTCCCCTTTCTGGAGCTTGCTAGAATGGGAAGGACAGATGTGGGGGTAAGCACTGCTCCCTCCTTCAAGAGCTGCCCGACCCACACCAGTGCAGAGTGGGTAGGCTACTACAGACTCCTGGCCCAGCACAGACACTTGGCCAAGCTTGCCTGCAGGGTCAGACCTTCCAAGGAGAGAGCAAGAAAGGACAGCTTGAACCCAGCTGATTCTGCATGGAGATTCACTCCCTTTGCCTGGCAAAGTCTTCTTTATCCTCCAAGACCCAGCTCAAGGGTCACTTCCCCTGAGAAGCATTCATTCTCCCACCCCTGCCACCTCCCTACCCCTGTCCAAGCAGAGGTGGAACCTCGTCCTTTTGTGCCCCTAGCACTTTTGATAAGCATTTGTTACACGATCCCATAATTTATTCCCTTGTCTCCCCCTCCCCATTAGAGTAAGAAGACAGGGATTGGGTCTTACTCATCCCAGTATCACCAGAGTCTGGCATGGGGTAGGTGCTCAGTAAATTTAGCAACTCTTGGGTGGCTAGGAATCAGCCACTCAGAAATTCTTAGATTGGGTCCCCCCTATAACATGGGGCTGGCAATGTTTGTTTCTTTCCACTGGAAGGGCCACCGAGGCTGGCGAGGGCCTGGCAGACCAATGACACGGTAAATCACAGGAGGTCTGGCAGACCCCTTGGAGGGGCAGAAGTCAGGTAACATGCCTAACTAAGGAGGATGGTTGAAAATGTTTTCTGGTAAAGACCTAGATCCTTTGTTTGAGGAAAACACCGCCATTTGCCTTTTAGGCAAGCTGCACCCCAGAACCACGAGGAGAACCTTTGTGCCCCGAATGCATCCTCACTGCAAGCAGGGAAGCAAGGCCCTGCTTCTGAGCATTCTCAGCTCATGACGTGTCTGTCTGAGGGGAGGGTGCCACAGGCCCCAAACGCCAACACCAGGCTGCTTCCGAGAATGTGTGCCTCTGCCAGTGGTAGATGCGTGTGCCAAATCCCCCAGAGGCCTCTGCTCATTCCTGAGAGGCAAGGCTCAGTTAGGAGCCTAGTCCGAGGCCAAGGTTAGAGCCAAGTCTATGACCAGTAAGGGGCTCCTTCCGGGGCTACGCCAGTGGCCACTTCACTCCACATGGGCAGGGACTGAAGCTGGTCTCCCTCCAGCTGAGGTCAGCCACCTGGGCTGCTGTCCAGTACTCGCTACTCTAAAAGCTTCCTCACGGCCATGCTACAGGCCTCAGGAGGTGGACTGCCGCCCCTCCCCGGGTTACTCACCCCCTGCACCCAAGGGTGCTGCAGAACTTGGGCAGCACTCAGTCTCTGCTTTGCATCTCGAACCAGGAGCTTGGAGATGAGGTCTTTGGCCTCGCTGGAGATGTGTGCCCAGTCCTTGTCAGGAAACTCATACTTGCCTTCTTGGATGCTCTCGAACAGCTTGTTCTAGGTAAAGAAGATTCCTCCTGAGGCCACGCTACCAGGGAATAAGCGGAATGTGCCTGCCATTGATTTGGTCACCCTGGGTCCCCTTGGCTTTAGCTGAAGCTGCAGCTCGTGGCCTGGGGATGCTACAGGCCAGGGCCCTCCCTGGCTCCCCATCCCTGCTAAGTCATCACACCACACAGAATGCCCCTGTCGGGCAGAGATGGCTAAGCTACTTGGAGGGCTGGGCAGGTGACACCTGGGGAATGCCAACTAGGGAACACAGCCCAAATTCCTCAGCCCTTCATATGGGGCCCCCACAAATGGGCTCCTGGCAATCTGTCCAGTTATAGCTCCCCCCACTGCCAACCTTACACTTCTACTCTTCTTCCCCCATACACATGCAGCTGTCTCACTCCTCCATGTCTTGGCTGGTACTGCCACTCCTGCTTCTATTTCTTGGGCAAGACTCATGTATGAAGGCTCAGCTCAGGTATGGTCTGCTCTAACAGCTCTCCCCTGAACTCCCAGCTAAGCCTGTCTCTCTCTCACCCTGTCGTGGGCCCTTGGACAGAAGGGGAAAGAGGCACTAGAGACCCCCTTCCGGAGCAGGAACACCTCCCAGCCCAGTCCTGTTGGGCATGCCCCAACCACGCTGACCCCCTGGCAGGCCCCGTGCAGCGGGTCCCTGAGCTGTGCTTACCTGGCACACCCTGCAGACCTCTCCCCGGTCCCAGCCACAGTCGGTCCCACAGTGACCTACGAAGGGGGGATAGCCGCTCAGCATGATGTAGAGGACTACGCCCAGGCTCCACAGGTCACAGCGCTTGTCGTAAAAGGTGGCCTCGTCCCTGAAGACCTCCACCACCTCCGGGGCCATGTACTCTGCAGAGCCACACTGTGGGGGCCAAGGTTGGGAGGGGAAATGGTAGAGAAGAGAGAGGCTTAGTCACAGGGAGAGGAGATGGCAAAGAGCATAATGTCATGGGAGTTCAGCAGGAGGATGGCACCGAAGAGCAAGGAGTTGCCAGGAAAGCCGGCCAGAGGGCTCACCTGATACCACCAAGGCACCTGGAAAAGCTGGGCTAACTGAGCGTTTGTAAATGGAGTCCTAGTGCTCCCCATGATCCACATGACCAGTTCCAGGTCACCTTCCCATCTTTCCAGGTCCTTCTCCAGTAGGCAGAGGCACCTGGTCAAGAAGCTGCTCAGTTCTCTGCAGACAGTCACCTAATGTACAGGCATTTCAATGTACCAGGGGCACGGGTCCGGGAGGGGGTCTGTGGACATCCAGTCCCATAAAGCGAGTAGTTCTTTTTTTTTCTTTCTTTCTTTTTCTTCTTCTTCATTTTTTTTTTTTTAATTTTAAGTAGGCTCCATGCTCAGCACAGGGCTTGAACTCACGACCCTGAGATCAAGATCTGAGCTGAGATCAAGAGTTGGACACTTAACTGACTGAGCCACCCAGGCGCCCCCATAAGACAAGGAGTTCTTAAAGTGAAGTCCCTGCCAAGCTTCTCTGCCAGCTTAGACCAAGGAGGTATAAGAATTCAGAATTAAGAGTCCATCCAAGCTGGGAAAGCTCTTAGAACAAATCCAATCTCCCCACTTCTCCCATTTATAGATGGGAAAACGAAGGACGAGGAGGGGGCAGGGATTTGGTTTCAAATCCCAGTACAAGAATTCGGGATTCTTTCCTTCCATCCTTGCATATAAGATGCTGATAAAAACAAAACAAATTCTTTTTGCTCCCCTCTTCCTTACTGCAGCCTTGCCAAGAGATGCCTCCCTGGCCCCCAACACACACAACTAATTAGATGGGAAGACAGGAAGTGGAGAAAGGACATTTTCCATATTATTGGCAATTAGAGTTAATGACTTTGAGAACAAGGTACCTCAGTGTAGTAGAAGCTAATACAGAAACATTTCTAATAATGTCAATTAGAGTAAGATACAAACACATTGAAATGCATGTCTTAAAAAAGGTTATTAGGAAAAATCACTTATGAAACATGCAAATCTCAAAAGACTCATAATAATTATAGTACATTGGGTATGTACAAGAGATGTCTAAGGAAGAACAGCTCCCAGCTGCACATCTGGGCATGAAATGTGAAGTGAAGGAAGCAACAGGATAACTCAGGCAAATGATCCTACATGCGGAGAGCTGGGACCTCTCAATTCTGGCCAGAGAGACCACATTGCCCCTCCTCCATCAGAGGGGGATGTGCTGAGACGCTGCTAGGGAGAGTGGGACTCAGAGCTATCGTGTGCTCAGGTGCAAAGGGCTGGCCTGGGCTAGTGTCTGTCTTTACCTGGGTCAGGAGTCAGCCCTCAGCCTGTTCCCACAGATACAATTTGTCTCATCATTGGCAGAGGACCTGCCCCAAACAAAAAGCTCCCATGTCAGTTTCATTAGCAACTAAGCCCTGATGGGGTGGGTGGGGGTGGCTCACAAAGTGGCCAAATGACAACTCAGGCAGAAACACTAGGTTTTCCTTCCTTAGCTCTCTGTTCTGGACTCCAGCTTTGGGTTGGGGGTACTCCAAGGGTACAGGAGTCCTGAAGGAGGTGGTACAGGGTGCCCAGCCATACGTACTGGAGTGGTCAGCTCTGGTGTGGTTATGGGGGTGCAGGAGTTGTTCAACTTCACCCCACTGCCCAAGTCAAAGTCACAGATTTTCACCGGAGACACCTGAAAAGGAACACAAAAAGCAAAGGTTACAAATATAAGAAACCCAAGGACACCAGGAGACCAATGTGACTATGACACAGTCACTCACCCTCCCTCGCTCCTTCCCCTCTCACTCGCTGGCTCTAACTATTGCACACATACTCTCTCTCTCTCTCTCTACGGCTGCCATGCCAAAGCCCAGCTTTTTCTGCCATGTCATGTTTACTGTCCTTGGGTTAGAAATCACCTGAGAGGGGCGCCTGGGTGGCTCAGATGGTTAAGTGTCTGCCTTCGGCTCAGTGCATGATCCCAGGGTCCTGGGATCGAGCCCTGCATCGGGCTCCTTGCTCAGCGGGAAGCCTGCTTCTCCCTCTCCTTCTACTGCTCCCCCTGCTTGTGCTCTCTCGCTCTATTTAAATAAATAAATAAAATCTTTAAAAAAAAAAAATCACCTGAGAATTTATCCTGAGGTGTCCTCTGCCCCACGCTCTTTCCTCACTTCCTAAGAGAAAATGTGCGTGCTACGTGGTGCCAGGCTGCTGCGCACTTAGTAAAACGAGCAGCAAACCTTCAGAAATCTTGCCCACAAATGACAAATGATGGTGTAGGCTGCAGAATCAGAGAAGTAAATATGTATTCCTGAAAGGTTCTTTGTGGCCCATTCAGTGGACGGTACCACCTCAGGTGGCTTGCGGTGACCAACTCATCTTTGCTTGCTTGGGACTTTGTTGGTTGCAGCACTGAAAGCTGTGTATCCTGGGACACCCCTCGGGCCCGAGCAAACTGGGAGGGCTGGTCACCCAAACTGGATGTTGCCCCTGAAACCACAGACAGCGTGAGTCATCTCCAGAGCTGACCAGGAGGGCACCTCGCGTGCATGCAGGAGAATGGCCTGCATGGTGGAAGCAACACAGTGAGCCCCTCAGAAATGCTGGTTGTGGGAGTCCCAGCTCAGCCGCTGACCTGCTGGGGAAGCCGAAAGTCTCTCAACTTCCCTTCCTCCCTTCCTTTCTTTCCTCTCCCCTCCCTTCCTCCTCCTTCTCTGTTATACCCTTCTTTTTCACTTAACCTCTTTTTTTTATTGTGATAAAACATATATAAAATAAAATAATCCACTTTAGCCATTTTTGAATGTATAATTCAGTGGCACTAATTACAGCCACACTGTTATTCAACCATCCCCAGGATCTGTTTCCAAAAGTTTTCCATCATCCCAAACAGAAACCATCAGGTAGAAACTCCCCATTCCCCCCTCTACCCAGTAAATATCTCATCTACTTTCTGTCTATGAATTTGGCTATTTCAGATGTTTCATTAACTGGAATCACACAATATCTGCCTTTTTGTGTCTGGCTTATTTCACTTAGCATACTGCTTTCAAGGTTCGTCCATGGTGTAGTGTGGATCAGAACTTCTACCGTTGGGTGGCTGAACAATATTCCATTGTATGGAGGGACAACATTTTGTTTATCCATTTACCTATTGATGGACACTTGGGTTGTTTCCAGCTTTGGCTGTTGTGAATAATGCTCCAATGAACACTGATGTTCAAGTTCAAACCTCTGTATTCAATTCTTTTGGGTATATACATAGGTGTGGAACTGCTGAGTGGTATGGTAATCCTGTTTAGCTTGGTGAGGAACTGCCATGCTGCTTTCCACCGTGGCCACACCATTTCCTGTTCCCACTGGCCATGGGTTCCAATTTCTCCACAGCCTCATCAGCATTTGCTCTTCTCTGGTTTTTTCTTCTTTTTAAAATTCTAACCATCCTAGCAGCTGTGAGGTGGTGTCTAATTTTTTTTTTTTTAAGATTTTATTTATTTATTTGAGAGAGAGAGAGGGAGCATGAGCGGGAGGAGGAGCAGAGAGAGAAGGAGAAGCACAGTCCCGCTGAGCAGGGAGCCCCATGTGGGGCCTGATCCCAGGACTCTGGGATCATGACCTGAGCTGAAGGCAGATGCTTAACCAACTGAGCCACTCAGGTGCCCCTAATGGTGGTTTTGATCAACATTTCCCTAATGACCAAGGATGTTGAGCATCTTTTCATACGCTATTGGCTATCTGTGTACTTTTTGGGGGAAATGTCTATTCAAGTTCTTTGCCCATTTTTAAAATTGGGTTGTCTTTTTGATGTTGAGTTTTAGAAGTTCTTTATATTTTGGATATTAAACCCTTATCATATATATGCTTTGCAAATATTTTCTCCCATTCTCGGCTTATCTTTTCATTTTCTGGATAATGTCTTTTGATGCTTGGGTTGCTCTTAGTTTTAGTTTTTCAACCATAGAAAAGGGGCAGTAATCCTGAGCCATCAAGATCAAATGAAAGGACAAAAGCCATGAAAGCATATTGTGAACTGGAGGCAAGAGAGTAGATCAGAGTGTCTGTGGAGTTCTGGGGCCAGATTGACTACCTTAGTTTTAATCTATATACCCTACTACTTACCAGCTGAGTGACTTTGGACAGGCTTCTTAATCTACCTGAGCTTCAGTTTCATCATCCATACAATGAGAATAGTAATAGTACCTACACCTCATGAGATTTTACAAATACTTAATAAGTGCCTGGCACAATGTAAGTACTCAAGAAATGTTAACTATAATTATTATTAATAATCATAATGATAATGGTGACAAATTATAAAGTCTTATGCCAGAGCCACTGACAGGAAATCACAAGATCTTATTTGAGGTAATGTATTACTACTCCCCACAAAAGAGCTGTAAGGAGCAGCTTACATTCACCACATTCTCTTGCAGCCGTTTCTGTTTATGGGCTATCCCTTAATTCAGACTGACAATGTGTGTTCATACATACGCACCCATATACATACACACAGAGCCATGAATGTGTGCCAGCAAAACCACCAGGGCCTCAATCCCTCCACACAAACACAGAATCTGTCAAATTCTTATATGCTTACGGAAGTGCAAACACTTCCATTTACTGGTAGGTTAAGGTAAAGTTTAAAATAGGATGCATCTGTTCAACACCCAATCTATATGTTTGCTTTTTAATGGGCATCTTTGGAAATAAAAATGGAAACAGAAACCCTTTTCAGGAACTTGCTTCCTAATTAGTACTTCAAGTGGTGGGCATTAGCTGGCATACACCGTAGCATAAACATCCTTTCTAGGCAAAGATTGGCTTCACAGAAGATTGAGTTGTTTATGGCTCACACCAGCTGCTCTAAAGACAGGTGCACTGGGCTAGAAAACATTCATTTCGTGCAGAGTTTTACAAACTCTCAGGTGTAAGCCAATCACACTGTTGATAAAGAGCAAAGAAGAGACAGGGATTAACCCGATTTAGAATGCAGAAACACTACACATTTGGTCTAACATTCTCATGTGTCCATAGTAATCAGTGCAGGTTGGTACCTGAGGCTGAGAGAACTGCTAACGACCCAACTGAAAATAGAGGTGGCTTCCCCACTTCAGTGTAAACTGTGACCCCCAACAAGTCAGCCCTAAGTACCTTTTCTGGAGACTCACACAGTATATTTTCCGGCTTCAGATCGCGGTGAGCGATGCCTGAAATGACAAGAGCAAAGAAATGGTTAACATATGCACATAATTATCAAACATTCCACACACAATTAATTTTTTCCAAATGCTGTTGTTCGCAGATTAATTCCCAATTATGGTACATTAAAAAATCAACGAGCTGCAGGAGGCAGAAGTAACCAGAGACGAACCAAAAGCACCGTTGATTCTGCAAGTTCTTTTGAAGCCGAAGCTTTAGAAGTCGGGCAGGGATAAGAAGGGGGCTAAATGAATCCCAGCTAGCCCACCTCTCAGCACTGCAGTGACAACCAAGAATAAGAAGCCTAATATGAAGCAGAGCGAAGAGCCCTGCAAATGGCCATGCTTGAAACCGCAATGCAGAAATAATCATTGCCTTGTTTAAGAGCATCTCAGGGGGCTGAAGCTGCTCTACCTCATTTCTTCTTGTGTGGCTGACTTAAAAAAAAATGATTCCCTAGGTGGGACTCCCTGCATGTTCAGAGGACCAAGTGTTAGTTAACAAATCTTCCAAAGCTTGTCCAATCCCCTTCTCACCTGCTCTGCATGTCCAAGACAGTCCTGTCGGAAGCACAGCAAGGACTGCTTTGGCTCGAGGGTACTGTTCTTAAGAGACACCTCCCTCCTCTGCATTTTGGCGAGACTTCCTGAAGGAGACACAGGCAGCAGCTTACTCCATGAGGGGTTAAAAGCTGCTGACCTGGCCAAGAAGGCACGTGGGGAAAAGCCACCTTCTGACCAAAGACAGGGACAGAGAACCAACTCATAGGGCGTGGTGGACACAGAAACTCCATCTCTCTTTCCTTCTGCAGAATGCACAATGCAGAGACAGAAGGGCTGGAAGGTTGAGCAAGAGCCAAAGAGCTGGTGCTCAGAAGTACTGGAAAGTAGCAGAGGATTCACGGAGTCATAGGAAAAAGCAGAATCTGCTTTCCTAAAACTCCCTTGATGACCAACTTCTCAGGCCGCCCTCCGATTTCCCGCTAGGAGGCAGAGGCCCAGCCCACCCGAGGCACTTCACCAGGGAGGGAAAACCTGAGCTCTAGCAGGCTAAGTAACTTCATCAGTCACCTAATTGAATGAGAACCCAGAGCAACTCAGTCCAGGCTGTACAAATTGAGTCGGGCTACAGCTTGCTGCACTAAAAGTGAAAGATATTTTCCATTACAGCAAGTGCTCCCACAGAAGGATCACGAGCCACACATGGAGCCTTGCTCTCCAAATGGGTGCCAATGGCCCAGTTGTCCCCCAGCCTGAGAACTGAGCGCCATGCCGGAATAACGGACCTGCCTCTGTGAACACGCCGGCCATCGAGCTGCTCTGCTTCATTTCCCAGAGGTTAAGCTGCAGCATGTCCAGTATTTAAAAGTGCGGAACTTGTTTCCGGGCTGACCCATTCCTGCCCAATCCATCTTCCCAGTGTGAAGTTATTTAGAAAACAGCCAAGTTCAGCTAGAAATTGTTTTTCACCCCAACTTCAAGTCACATGGGCAGCTGGTCCGCTAGATGTTAGCAAGCACTTCAGAACTCCTAACACCACACCAACTCTGTTCCCTTTACTGCCTCAAAATAAATAAATAAAAAATAAAACCGCCTCTGCCCCCCTCTAAGGTATGGGTCTTGCAAAAAGCGTGACCCAGTTTTGCAATCTGCAGAGGCAGCTTGGGGAACAGTTGTAAATCTTTGTCAAGCAGGTGTTACCTACATGCATCCCGGCTTTCAGAAACAGAACTAGTGCTATTCATCATGCTGGGGAAAGTACAAACACCCCTTCTAGGAACTTGCATCCCATGTGCCAGTCAGGCGTCCAACGTGGCCACTGTCAGCGTGGAGATCTCCCTTCAGCCACAGGAGGAAACGAGGTAGGACCAGTGAGGCTGAACTCCCTGCACACATGCCTCCAGCATGCACTGAGCTGCTGGCACAAGGTGGGATGTGTGCCCAGAGCGCCTAGAAGTGGCCTGGGGCTCTCACAACCTATGTGGCCGGCCAATATCCACAGTGGGGAAGGGAGCAGAGCTAAGTTACCAACTATTCAATCCACCCCCTCCCATCACCAGACAGATGGCTTTATTTTAAGGGAATTAATATTAGGAATGGAAATGCTTTCTGTCTGGCGGCGGATCAGGGTGGAGGAAGGAACACTCTTGCAGAACTACTACATGCCGGGCACTGTGCCCCAACTGTGTTATACATACACGATTCAGACACAGGCCCACACCGCTCTGTAAGCGAGCGAGAATAGTGCCGCACGCTAACCAGAGCAGCGTTTAACTACTGTTGATGAAGTAATTACCTCTCTTCTCACTGTAATTCTGCGGGAAGACATCATTACTGAGAGAGCACATAGCTGGTAAAAAGGTAACGCTAGAACTCGTTTTTCCATGGCACTGCTGTTAGGCACGTTTTAAAAATGTAACCATCAGACATATTTATGGAAATACAAAAACAATTTGTAAAAAGATTTAATTCACTATCAAAGTTCTTAAACGATCAGTCTTAGATAAGGGACTGTAAACTGAAGTGTAATTCAGACAACAGCAACCTGCAATTTACCATCATGTTCAACAGATACCTCAAACTTAACCACGTTAGTAGAAAAATGCATTTTCCATTTATTGTGAACAAGATATAAAACTAGATATATACTATCATGCTGATTTTGAAAAGAGAGATACAGGTGACATATTTTAAAAGACTAGAAGGGTGTGCCTGAGTGGCTTAATTGGTTAAGTGATCTCAGCTCAGATCTTAATCACAGGGTCCTGAGTTAAAAAAACAAAACAAAACAAAACAAAACAAAACGAGAAGGGGCACCTGGGTGGCTCAGTTGGTTAAGCAACTGCCTTCGGCTCAGGTTATGATCTCAGGGTCCTGGGATCAAGCCCCGCATCGGGCTCCCTGCTCGGCAGGAAGCCTGCTTCTCCCTTTCCCACTCCCCATGCTTGTGTTCCCTCTCTCGCTGTCTCTCTCTGTGTCAAGTAAATAAATAAAATCTTTAAAAACAAAAACTAGAAAACACCCAAATATTTATACTAGAATAGTATTATGATGAGGCTTGCATCCTTCTAGGACAGGAAAAGGAGATCATCCATACCCACACACTCATACATCTTATTCGTCATGAAATTTAGTCTTTTTCCCCCCGTTCTTTCTCCCGTGTCTCTACCCTTCTTAATAGCACCACATCTGCCTGCCATCCAAATCCAAAGCCCAGCACCATTCTGGCTCACTCCCTCACCCTCATGCGTGGGGCTGTGAACTGCACTAGCTCCCGGCCTAGTTCTCTGCCTGATCTGCCCCTCCCCTTCCGTCCCCAGAGGCTGGCCGGTCCAACCCAATCACCGAGGCAAAGGCCTGGTTCACCTTTGGTGTGCAGGAAGTCAAGCGCAGTGGCCACATCCCGTACCACTCGGCTGGCTTCTCGCTCATTGAAGTGCTTCTGCTTCTGGATGTGGGCCAGGATGGAGCCTGGGGAGCAGAAGAGACACACAGGTATGACGTTTCGGGCCCTAGGAAGTATAAGTTCTCAGAGGTCAAGTCTGCACAAGTTTGGGGTGGGGACACAGCCTTATTCATCACTAAATGTCCAGCACCAAGTGTGGTACTTGGCACAGAGGAGCTACCAGCACAAAACTGGACTGAACATGGGGCGCCAGGGTGGCTCAGTTGGTTAAGCAACTGCCTTCGGCTCAGGTCGTGATCCCAGAGTCCTGGGATCGAGTGCCGCATTGGGCTCCCTGCTCAGCGGGAAGCCTGCTTCTCCCTCTCCCTCTGCCTGCCGCTCCCCCTGCTTGTGCTCTCTCTCTTACCATCTCTCTGTGTCAAATAATAAAATCTTAAAAAAAAAACTGGACTGAACAGAACTGGACTGCCATCTTCTGTGCCTGCCCATGATGAGCACAGAAGGGAGAGAAAACTATTTGCATGACCAAAAATATTAATGCCATTGAGGCAGATCTGGCTTCTGAAATAAGAAAGAACTAAAAGTGAATCCACATGAGGTTGGGGGGCCTCTCCATAGGAACATTTCCTCCTCTGCATCTGATCTCAGATCCAAACAAGAGCACAAGCTTTCAAACAGAAATGCCACACCCTCAACAGATATGTAAAGGTCTAGAAAGTCTAGAAAAAGGGGGAAAAGTGCTTTCCCTCTGACTTTCCTATTTATTATTAATAATATTATTTTTTGTTGGCAACGGCTAACATTTATTGAGTAGTTACTATGTGCCAGGCACTATGTAGTAGTCTTCAAATAGATTATCTTAGCCTTAACCACAACTGTGCAAATTGTACAAAATATAGTTATCTCCGTTTTATAGATGGGGAACCTGAAGCCAAGAATGGCTAAGCAACTTGCTCAAGATGACACACCAGTAAGTGGAGGCATCAGGACTTAAGCCCAGTAAGTCTGGCCTTAGAACCTGTATAGACTGCCCCTCAACTGGATGTGTAGTCTGACTGCTGGGGGCATGGGCTGCCCTGAATCAACCAGTCTCCTTACCTACTGCAATGGCTCTGGCCTCAGCAGGGCTGCACTCTAAGCAATACATTTACAGATGATCCCCAGCATTTTAAATGTAATGTCTTGGTGGTGCTGAGCAGGGCAAGGGCATGAGCACATGGCCTGGCTCCATGTGCTCTGTGCTCATGACTGGAAGTCAGTATTTCTGGGCTGGAGGGGTTATCTCTGCATCTTAAAAATGGCACAGGGGCGCCTGGGTGGCTCAGTCGGTTGAGCATCCAACTCTTGATTTTGGCTCAGGTCATGATCTCAGGGTTCTGAGATGGAGCTCTGTGCCCAGCGTGGAGTCTGCTTGAGATTCTCTCTCTCTTCCTCTCCCTCTGCCCCTCCCCCTGCTCGCTCTCTCTCAAATAAATAAATCTTTTTTAAAAATGGCACATATTTACTTATTGCTGGGTTTTGGCATAGGGAAGGGATAAAAGATCTTCCACTTGTCAGATTAAACAATGAAAGGATCCCGGCATGCTAGGGAACATTCCCAGATAACTGGCTCCTGGCTAGTCTCATATTTGCTCTACTGTAGTGAGTCTCTTGCTTCCAAATTTGTTAAAAGGGCAGATAGACAGTAATATGCTACCCACTTCTAAGATAGCCTTTGGCATACCCAATTGTTTTAATAATATTAATAGCTGACATTTATTGGACCCTTAGTGCCCATAGGGCACTGTGCCAAGCATGTCACATGAATGATCTCACTGCATCTTCAGAGCTACTGAAAGAGGTAAGTGCTGTCATGATCCCTATTTTACAGATGAGAACACTGTTTAGAAAGGTTATGTGACTTGCCCAAAGTCACACAGCTAGTAAGTGATGGAGCTACACTTAAATCCAGCTTTGCTGGGTCTAGAGCATGCTCCCTTAACCACCAAACCCCTCCACATGGCCCCCCACTCAGCTCCAGATATCCTCCCTAACCTGCACCCTGCAAATCTGTCCTCAGGCTGGGTGAGTGACGGTGAGGGCAAGGGCTGCTCTATCCCATTCTCTATGTCAGAAAAGCAACCTGAGTACACGTTCTAGTGACTGTGGGTGTGGGTGATGGCAGCAATGGTGATGGTCAAGAGTGGCATCTTTCCATCTGAAGGATACAGATCCTCAGGCCTCCTCTCTATCCTGGGTCTACTTCCTAAGCCATGGGACCTTCCTCTCCTCTGGTGAGCCTTTCTGGACTTCACAACGTATGCAAGAGTTTCCACCCCATAATTAGTTTAAATAGTGAACACATCAAAACAATGGATTGATAAATTGATGCCTAAATGTATCTATACATGAGTCCTATTACAATGAGAAGGCATTTATAGAATGTCCACACAGGTGACATTCTAGGCTCTGCAAAATGCTAATTAACATCCTTCCCTCCGGCCTCCCTTCTCCCAAATCAAGGGCAGTTTTAAGTCCTTCATCCTTTTTATTAGCTTGACTCATTTTAGAAGTCTCTGGGATTCATGATGGATGATCACCACCCTGGGTCTTAATCAGAAGTCCAAACACATACTCAACAGTAAGTACCTCCTTGCAATTTCTCAAAGACCAAGTAAAACCTTGTGTCATCTTCAAAGAACTCAATCAGCTCCAAAATGTTCCTTAAATAGGAAAAAACAGGAGGAAAGGGAAAAAAAGGGAAATGGTATTATATATTAAAGCCCACTTACAAATATACAATGAAAAAAATATACAATGCCCTGTCGCAGGGCAGAAATCAACCTGAAATCAGAATGCTTATTAAAGACCCATGTTTGAGAAGTAGCCAATGGTGTTAGCAAGACTCAGGTCACCTTATCTTTCCATAATGTTCAGTCTCTGGTGTTTTCACCAAGTCTGTGCTGTCAAACCCCAACCCTAAAACCCACTAGGTAGAGTTATAAAAAAGTCCCGGTCACATTAAACTGAATAAAATCTGCAGCCGACTGGAAGCAATTGCGGCTAATAACACTGAATAGTAGGTGTGTGTCCTGGAGGCAAGCAGCAAATAATTACTTGCCCTCCCTCTTGCCCATAAATCACAGGGCAGTATTTACATTGCCTGGAGAAAATGGAAACATCTGTCAAATAGACTTGGGGCCCAACGTGGGCACCGCTAGACCCTAACTGCTAAGCGCTGCTTAATGAAACGGCCGCGTTCCCAGCCGCCATAGCACTTGCGGCCTTCCCCGGTGAGCATTCTCCGGTGAGCACTCTCCGTCGGCCTGAGCATTACCCCGCGCCGCCAACAAGGTCGTCTCGGAACTCAGGAGGAAAGCCGCCGGCCTGGATATCGGACGTGTTGGGGGCTTTTTTTCTTTTAAAGAACGAAATAAACCAAGTAGAGGCTCCAATGCTGAACTCAGAAGCTGCAGGGCTGAAAATAAAAATCTGTCCCTCATCAAAAAATGCTGACCACTTTGGGAGACACCAGGCTTTCACTAGTGTGACGGCTTCTAAATAAGATGACTAAAATGGCCTGATTTGAAAGAAGATTGTAGAAGCAGCGCCTGGAGTTAAATCAACAGCAGCCCCCATCCTCCAAGCTTAATGACAAAGCCATCAATACCTGGTCACTGGCTCCCCGCTGACCCTGCTGTGCAGGGAAGAGGGGAGAAGCAGAGTCTTAGAGGTGACCCTGATTGAAAGCCACCGCGGGAGAAGCACTCATTTGGAGCTGGTGGTGAGCCGGCTGAGGCGGGGGCGGAGACCACCTTGGCCCAGCTGGCCCGCAGAGTGCTAGGCGGGCGCCCGGAGCCTGAGCGGCGGCCGCACACACGCTAACATGCTGGGTACAGAACACGGTGGTATTCGTACTAGCTCTCATTGTCCTCATCTAGTCATGAAAGCTGGGCCCTCACGGTGTGTGCCGGGCGACACTCGGTCAGCCTTGTTCCCACAGGCACTTGAAGGAGGGAACCCCATCTTCTCCCAGCCCCTCATTCGGATCGCTCTCTCTTCCAGCTTGCCTGGGTTGTTATTTACAGTACTTCAGCCTGAACGGAAGCAAAGGCTCCTGCCGCGTCTCCTCTCCCCTCTCTCTCTTAAACACGGAAAGGCAGAAGGAATCCTCTGCAGTTGTGGCCAAGGCATGTGAGCTAAATGCTGGGGTCAGGAGGTGGTAAGAAATGACCTTTTCTACAGCTAAGCATCCTCCCAAGAGAAGCAGCAAGTAACCCAAGACTGTACTCACTTGTTTCCTTGACACTGATAGAGCGTCTCCACCTCTCGAAATACCCTACTCCGGCTGTGCCCTGCTTGTTTTTCGATGATCTATGGAAAGAATAAAATCTGTCATACCCACCTGACCTTGAAACACCTCTCAGCGGGAGCCCTCTGGGAGAATGCAAGGCCCAATTCAGCCCACATCCAGTTTCAAGTGCGAGCGTGGAGGAGGTCTTGGTGACACAGGCACCGTGACTCTGCCAGCAACACACGAGACCGGCCCAAGCTTTCCAGCCTGGCTGGGGCCTATTTTGACTCTGGCCAAGCAAATACTGTGGAAGCCTATGGGGACACTGAGGCAGCCAGCAAGAAGATAAAGAGCTACCTCTACCCAGGTCCTACCTCAAGGGCATCTCTTCCTGTCTTAAGGGTGAGATTTACAACCTCCACTGAAGGATCTTCCAGGGTTGGAGGAAGAGCAAGGGGGCTGGAGGACGCAGTGGAGAGGAACTAAAGCTCCAAGGCCCAGCTCAGACTCTACACCTGCAGTTCTGCAGAGAACGTGCCCTTTGGCAGTAACTCAGGTACACAGTCTCAGTTAGTTCTTACAGCGCAATCCAAAAGACAGGAAGAGGTCAAACATTTTGTCCACAGCTCTGATAAGTGGTAAAAGTGTTGGCACTCAAGTCCAGAGCTGCCTCCAAAGCCCTTGCTATCCTATCCCTGTCTATGTCCCATGCAGTTTCTCTCAAGGAACCTAGAGACACTGTCTCTCCCACCTGTACCTGGAGATGCTTGGCAAGTAGGAACTGAAGGCATGGGTGAGCCAATAGATGAGCACGTGGTTTAAGCAGGGACTGGCTAACTCTGAACATCTCCACAGACCCATCAAGAGCCCCAAACCATTGCGAGTAGAGCCTGGGGGAAAGCCTTCTGCAGAGCTGGCTCTGCCTTACGGTCCCACGTATGGAGTGGGCAGCACAGATGGTAACACCCTGCTCCTTCATTCCCAGACCGCTGCGTAGAATACTTCAAACCACTCCCGTGTGTTACAGCACAAACACCCAGGACCAGGTGTAATATTCTATACAAGTCCACATCTGGTAGTAAACCACAGTGGGCCCACATTCTAAGCAGTCAGAGAGGTGCAGTGCTGGGGCACAGAAGCTATTTAACTCACTCATTTACCTAGCATTTCAGATCAAAGTCAGGAAGAATCTTCTAGCAGCAAGCTATTCAGCAATGGTATTATTTTCTCTGCAGAAGTAACGGGCTCCTGCTATCAGAGGTTAGGGCGCAGAACATGGACAATTATTTGAGGAGTTATGGAAGAAATTCAGGACCAGATTATCCTGAAACTCCGTTTCAACCCTGAGACTCTAGGATTCATCATTAGGATGCCTATAGGGAAGCCCTAATAAAACCCAATGTTGTGGGGCCATGCTGGGAGAAGTAGACCATCTCTAGGGAGCTTCCAAGGGACAGGAGAGATATGAGATGTGGGTTGAACTGCTCAAACCAAAGAATTACCAAGCCAGGGTTCAGTGTTTGCACCAAAGATGCCCAGGGGCACAGAGGGCCGGGTTTTCCTCTTTATGATCCAACCCTGAAGAAAAAGGTCTGGATGGATGCATAAATGTCCCCAAACCTTTGAAAATCAACTTATATTTGTGGCTTATTACCACACTTAAGCATATTTTTAAAAAATTACTTGTAATTTATACTGATGTTTCCAAAAAGGAATTGAGGTAGTACTTTTGTTACCATATGAAGCAACACTCCAACAAAAGGGAATGTGGCTTAAGCAGAAGTGTTCCCCTTTATTAACCCGCAGCTGGGACTATGGCCAGTTGGTCACAGGAAGAAACACTTCTCTCAGGAGCCAATTTGGCTGGGTTTGCCTGTATGAGACAGCACTTAGACCTGCAGGCTCAGGTGGATGATGTGAAATACATCTGAATTGCCCCCTTGGATTTAATGAGACCTTGTTTCTAGATCCGTGGTTCCCAAACTCTGGTGGGTATAAGAATCACCTGGGGAACGGCATAAAAAATACAAAGACCCAGGCCCTATCCTCTACCAAGAAAACTGGGTCTCTGTGCTATTAGCTCTCCAGATGATTCTGCTCCACACTGAATGTAAAACAGCCCTATATCAGGGCTTTCCGAACTTCAGCAAGTATCAGAACCACTTGGAGACCTGGCTAAAATCATATTGCTGGGCCCACCCCTGGTTTCTGACTTAGTAGGTCTGGGATAGGGCCAGATAATTTGTATTTCTGACAAGTACCCAGGCAATGCTGATACTGCTCATGCAGGAACTACACTTTGAGAACCAATGCTCCAGATCCATCCCTTCTTCCATCTAGAGCTGGCAAATGGAAGCACCGAGGGGTAGGGTGAGTCACCACAAGGTCATGTAGCAAGGAGCCATCTCTCCTGCCCCAGAGCTGAGTGCTCAGTCCTCATTATGGTGATACCGTGCATCACTTTATAGCATTGTGTAATTGGTAGTGTTTCTACTTCCAGTTCATTTTTATTTTCATCTTCATAACCACTCCGTTGAGACAGGAAGGCCGGGTGTTGTTATCCTCATTTTAGAGATGTGGGAACTGAGGCTAAAGGAGGTTCAGCGACTTGCCCAAAGTCAAGCAGTAGTTTGGTAAAACAGAGATTCGGATTGGCCTTCTAATTCCAAATCTGGTTGTCCACTCTGTGAAGTTTGCTCCATTTTTCAGAATAAGAAGCAGCAGCTAGACATTGTTCTACGCACTTTACACATACTCTATCCCCACATCAATACTCTATAGTTCCCATGATTACACCCATTTTACAGAGACGGAAACCAAAGGACAGAAGTGTTAAGTAACTTGCCTAATGTTACACGGCAAGTAAGTAGAGAAACAAAGAGTTGAATCCAGTGAGTCCCGCTTTGGAGTTGCCATACTGCAGAATATGAAATGTATCTGGCTTAGGCCCAGCTAGGACTGACTGCATGGGAAGTCAAGTCTGGCATCCAGATGAGACACTCACTTTGACCGCATACTCTTTGCCATTCTGCAGGCTCACAGCACCTTGAACTTTGGCATAGGCTCCCTCTCCAAGCAATTCAGAGGTCAGCTTGTACATATCTAGAGGTAAAATGGGTGAGAGGAATAACGATAAGTCACGCTTTTGCAAGTTCAGATGGAGGAAGAGCTTTTGTCACTCCGCTTCCCTGGTGTGACAGCATGGGCACACACAGGGACTCTGTAGTGCTCAGTGGCAGGGAAGACCATTAACTCTCCAGCCATCGCAGGACTCAGTTTCTCAACAACCAGACCACATCGAAGGCATCCTATTCCTCATTTTTTTTTAAATTTTTTTAGATTTTATTTATTTATTTGAGAGAGAGAGAATGAGAGACAGAGAGCATGAGAGGGAGGAGGGTCAGAGGGAGAAGCAGACTCCCTGCCGAGCAGGGAGCCCGATGTGGGACTCGATCCCGGGACTCCAGGATCATGACCTGGGCCGAAGGCAGTTGCTTAACCAACTGAGCCACCCAGGCGTCCCTCTATTCCTCATTTTAAAGATGAGGTCAGTGAAAGAGTTTCAATTCGGCCCATGCTCCCTGAGTACCTACTATGTGCCACACAACATATTAAATTCATAATAGAGACAGAGTGAGGAATAAAATATAGTCCCTGCCCTTTGAGGGTCACAGTCCAGTGGGGAAGACAGACATGCAGACAAGTGACTCCAGAATAAACCAGGCACTAGTAAGTCCTATCATAAAAGGACAAGACACAGTTTAAAAAAAAAAAAAAGCAGGGGGAGGGAAAGGTTAAATCTGTGTAGGGAAACTAGGGGATCCTCAGAGAAGGAGTGTGATTTCAGTGGACATGACTCACTCATTTACTTATTGGTTGAGCACCTGCTCTGTGCCCAGCGCTGTGCTAGGCACTGGTGACACAAAGGGGAATGAAGCACTGTTTTACTGTATACCACACACAGAAGTCACTGGAGGTTTCTGAGAAGTTTCCAGAAGTCACCCACAGGAAACAGGAGACAGAAGTAGGATGCAAACGGACACCTTGAGGTTTTTAGGGTGCTGACTCAGGGCGGTTCTAACGGAGTAATAGGCCTGGGGTGAAAGAACATTTAGGTGACCTGCCCAAGCTCACAAATAGCACAGACTCTTTGAGCCCCTTTCAAAGGAAGCCACAGCTCCATCATGGCCTCTGCTGAGCTGACCTCCTCCTCCCTTGACCTCCATTCTTCAGTGTTTCCTCTTGAGGCAGCCCAGCATTTAAACCCACAGGGTGAGCAAAACACTTTTAAACCATGAAATTAGATTTTATCACTCCTAGCATGAGAGGCCTATAATTGTACAAGCCATCCTTGAATAACGGATATACTCTTGTGTTGATTTGGAAACTATTCTAAAAACCTCGAGACTTTTGTCCACCCCACCCCTTTACACATATATCTACAGTTTAAGTTAAAGACAAACAAATAGACAAACCCTACACTAAGTACCTTCTCCAGTCCAACACGGCATGGTCTTGCAGCTGTTTATAAGCATGCACACTGTTGTTTCTAAGTATTTTAAATGACATGCTTCTCTCACAAAGGATACATTGGTATTAGCCTTTCGTGCATGTCAGGATAGGTTGGTCGTTGGAAGTCCAATATCCCTGATTCATAAAGGGCTTGTTATTAGAACCACTCTACGAAACAATCAATTCACTAGTCTATCTGCCACGTTGGAAAGAGGGACCATGAGGGGAAGCTATTTCAGGCTTCACAATGAAAGAAACATAATAGGTGAAGGGGGCACGTCACTCCTGGAGTAGCTACTGACCCTCCAGTCCTTTGCAAAATTGTACAATGATTCACCTCATGCCATCGCATGCCCAGCGATGACAGGACCAGCACTGAGCCTGTGCCTCACACAGTGTTCAAAATCTTTGATGATCCAACACCGTATCCCCTGAACACAGCATGTGCTCTTAAAATGGAGTCAAGGGGCGCCTGGGTGGCTCAGTCGTTGAGCGTCTGCCTTCTGCTCAGGTCATGATCCCAGGGTCCTGGGATCAAGCCCTGCGTCGGGCTCCCTGCTCGGCGGGAAGCCTGCTTCTCCCTTTCCCACTCCCCCTGCTTGTGTTCCCTCTCTAGCTGTGTCTCTCTCTGTCAAATAAATAAATAAAATCTTAAAAAAAAAAAAAAAACGGAGGGACGCCTGGGTGGCTCAGTCGTTGGGCGTCTGCCTTCTGTTTGGGTCGTGGTCCCGGGGTCCTGGGGTCGAGCCCCGCGTCGGGCTCCCTGCTCTGTGGGAGGCCTGCTTCTCCCTCTCCCACTCCCCCTGCTCGTGTTCCCTCTTTCGCTGTGTCTCTCTGTCAAATAAATAAATAAAATCTTAAAAAAAAAAAAAATGGAGGGACGCCTGGGTGGCTCAGTCGCTGGGCGTCTGCCTTCAGCTCGGGTCATGGTCCCGGGGTCCTGGGGTCGAGCTCCGCATCGGGCTCCCTGCTCCGTGGGAGGAGCCTGCTTCTCCCTCTCCCACTACCCCTGCTTGTGTTCCCCTCTCTCGCTGTGTCTCTCTCTGTCAAATAAATAAAATCTTTAAAAAAAAAAAAATGGAGTCAAACGCATACAGCACAAGTAGCTGTGATCTCTAGGAGTCAACTCCTCTGTTTCTAGAAGATTTAACTTTCATTTGGAGCCATGGCCCTTGGTGTTCTCTCATCCTTTTACACAGTGGTTCTACCTCTCAGCAGCTCCTCCAGGAACAGCCGGGACAAAGATCACATCAGAAAAGGGCCGAACTGCACCAAGTAATCTCACGCCATATCCAAAGTGACGGATTGGTCTTTCTATCCCCTGGTGAAGTGCTGAAACCATTCAGAGTGCACCATCCGAGAGCTCTGTCATCCCACCTTTCATCTCTGTCACACAGATAAGCACAAGCTGACTCTCAGATGACGCATGCTCTGATCTAGACCTATGGGCCACCTGGATGCTCCTCCCGTGCTCGGGGAGCCACAGGCCCAGATCTGAGGAGTCGTGTGACCAACCTTCAAACTTCCCTGGTAAGGAGTCAGTGGCCCGGGCCTTCCGCTTCTTCTTTTTCCTCTTGTCACCCTCTGCAATGGGAAGGGGTTCACTGCTGCCCATCTCTGGGGAAAAAGAGATATAAGGGAAATATCACTATACCGGTCAAGTCATAAGTTCACCCAGAAGGGAAAAAAAGGGGGGTGGGGGGACCCAGGAGCTTTACACTGATGGTTTTTAAATATCTGTGAGAACTATTGATTTGTTTGACCCAGGAGGCAAAACTAAAGGCAAAGCCATTATTGGAGATCATTAACTGTGGAAAGGAACTTAGACAGGCTAGATTAAAAGAGGATAGCAGAGCCTGCTTTAACCAAGCTCATTAGTATATGGATTTAGATCTGCCACCAGTCAAACTGTAGTTCCCAACAAAAACAATGAAGCCATAAGCAGAATCGCACCTGTGACGTCCTCCTGCCTCAGCACCAGAAAGGCAAGACCCAGGGAGCTAAGCAAGGGCATGGGCTTGGGAGGGGCCCATGCAAATGAAATCATATGCTCAGGGACATCCGAGTGGATGTGCACAGGGATTCACAGGCCTTCGGTGGAGGTACAACAGGGCAGGGGATGGCTTTGAGGATGGCCCTAAATTACTTCAGGTCTAGGAACACAGACCTGAGTACCTGTGGAAGCCCGAGCGTCCTCTTATTTGAGAGGATGCAGTTAGGGTCTATTCAGAAGCCTGAGAAGTCTGCAGTTGACAGGTCTACATCGGGCTGCTGGATAAGGTCATTTATTGCAAAAACATTACTATCTCTCACTGGCCAGCAGGTTAAAGGGAGGCTCCCCATGTTAAAGGGCAGATTTGTGAGGCAGACATTTCGACACTGGGCACACCAGGCAGGAAAGGGTAGGGATGGAAAGAATAAACAGGAGACTGAGAGGGGGAAAGAGAAAGGAGGAACAGGGAACCAGGGCCCAATCAGGGCACTGTTTCTAAGACACTCTAGTAAGGGCCTTCCCCTGTTAAAGATAAATTACTTATAGAACATGTCATGCCCCTGATCCAGAGTGAGCCTTAATACTCTTTGCCTGCAGTTAGAAATATTAAGATTTCTCTGAAGTCTCTGGGTCTAAATCCCCACCAGGGTGATTAAACCTTTACATCCTTCTAAAATAGAGGCACTTGGGTGCTGATGGGGCATGCAGTGTGAGAGACTTTTAGACCAACCTTCAATAAACACAGGCTCTGGCTTGTTGGATTTTTTTTTTCTAAGAGATTTTGAAATGGAAGCTGGCTCTTTGCCCATCAAGGGGAAAGGCCCACTTTCTTCTCAGAGGACCCTGGCTGAACACGGTCAGAAAAATGGCAAGTCTGCTCAGGAAGATTGATTAGGGCCGAAGCACGTCTCTGTAGTGTTCTCAGAAGCAAGTACACAACATCCATTAGGAGAGAGCACACAGAACGATGGCACTTTCCGCACCATAATCCAGAAAGTATGGTTAGGCAGCCAAGTGTCTGACAGCTCAGTTTAGGTGCATTCTTCCTCTCATTTTTGGATCTGACGACAGCAGATTTTCAATTATACTTTAGAGAACAAATAAGCACGTGGATAAAAGGAATCCACAGAGGATCTCAAAATATTACTCTGGCCAATAGTTTCAAACACAAGATCTATCTGGGGACAGCAACACACTATGAATTCAAAGAATCCAACTTAAATATCAGCACCCAATATCCACCCTCACTAAGGTGAGTTAAAGGGAAAAAGCTGCCCAACACAGTGAGAAATTCTACAGAAATGAAACCCAGCGGGCTCTTCAGGAGCCCAGGGAGGGGCACTGGCCACTGGGACAGCAGGCTGAGGAGGAGGGGCCACTGTCCCTCTCGCCCTGCCGTTGTGTGCAGTCCAGTGCCAATCCGTTTTCTTCTCAGGGCTGCGAGGCAAGTGCAGACTGGACTGATTCTGGATTCCCTTCTCTTTCTCCTTCCTCTGCCTGCACTCAGACGGAGGGCCTAAGGACAAGCAAAACAGCCAAAAGGTAGGCAATGCAGAGGAGCAGCAAGAGAGCTGGAAGCATTATAATTCACAGGGGATGCTCAGACATACTTACGACTCTAGCTAGAAAACCCTGTTAGAGGCAATTTATACTTGGTTTTTACCACAGCAGGGCTGAGGGAGCCTCTTGTGGAAGAATCGTACCTCTGAGCACTGCCGCATATTCAATATCAGATTTTATGGCTTCACACACAAAAAAATAGAGTACCTGGTCTATTCTGCATGGATTTCAATGGAAGAGGGTACGCCAGAAGGGACAAATGGTTAAGATTTTCCTTGGAAACAGAACTTGTTGAAGGAGAGTTGTTTTTGAAACTAGGAAGAAAAAAATGTAGGAAGGCAGTGAAGTGGAAAAAAAAAAAAACCATGTTTAACTTCCCTGTTTACATGGGGGGAGGGGAGAGGGAGTGGTGTCATAATCTTACCAAGGGGTTGATAGGTTCCCCATCTGGAGCCTGTCCATAATCTCTATTCTATTGCAGACAGTCCACTGGCAGGGTCTATGGGACCTTAATTTATTAAGCATGCAAACACTGGATGAAAGCTTCCTCAGGGGGTGCCTGGGTGGCTCAGTCGTTTAGCGTCTGCCTTCGGCTCAGGTCATGATCCCAGAGTCCCAGGATCGAGTCCCGCATCGGGCTCCCTGTTCTGCGGGAAGCCTGCTTCTCCCTCTCCCCTCCCCCTGCTTGTGTTCCCTCTCTCTGTCAAATAAATAAATAAAATCTTAAAAAAAAAAGCTCCCTCGGGGCATAAGGCTCCACAATCAAGCTGGTCCTCGGCTCACCTCCTTCCCTTGGCCAGAGACTTCCTCTCACTGCAACCACTACAACCCAGCTCAAAAGTCTCTGCTCCCCCACCCCCAGTCTCCACCCCTTTGAACGAGTTCAGTTTGTACAAACACTTTGGAAATCAGTTAGGTACCAGGCAAATAGATGGCTTCACTGCACAGAACTAATAGTGCTCCTCCTCTGCTCCTAAACACCCTGCTAGAAGTACCATTAGAGCACTGGTGGGATCTGGCCTTGAGCTCTCTCTCCCCAGTGTTCCTAAAGGCCAGGACTGTTGCCTGTTCATCTCTGCATCTCCTATAAGCCATGGCACAGTGTCAGATACATACCAACCCTCAGAAAATGTGCACTGAAATGAAATGATAGGAAATGCTGCACATACTTAGTGTTAGTTGCAGTGCATGTCACCCAAGCCCTTTAGGTAACAAGTGCATGCACCGAAAGAAATGTGGGTCCACCTCTGCCCTACAGACTGCAGAGTGAGGCTATTCTGTTCTATGAGTTCTCTGACAAACTCTTCCTAAGAAAAAGCCCTGTGGCCCTTGACTTTCTAGCCAGAAGCCTGGTCTCTGCTATAGAATTGGGCAATGTGTTTGTGATTTCAGAAGAGGAAACGAGCACTTCTTTTAAGTCTTCAGACAGACTCCAGCTGGTGTGCAGGCTCCCAGTACTTCTACTACCTCTAGTCCTTACCTTCCCCTTGGTTAGGACTCGGTGGTCTACCATCCGTGTACTGGTGGAGGTGGAGCTGGAAAGGAAGCACACTGTTGACAGGGAAGGACATGAGCTTGGCAACAGGAGACCAGAGTGAAAATCCTGCCTCAGATATTAGCAGACATGGCACCAAGGCTATGCCAAGTTACTTTGCCTCTTAGAGTCTCAGCCTTCTCATCTACAGAACAGGTTTTAAAATAATATCCGCCCTTTTCAGCAACCCTGTGAGGACCCAATGACATACCTGATATAAATGTGCAGGAGAAACATATATGTATGGGTCACCTGGGTGTCTCTGTTGGTTAAGCGTCCGACTCTTGATTTCAGCTCAGATCATGATCTCAGGGTCGTGAGACCGAGCCCCGCATTGGGTTCCACGCTCAGCGGGGAGTTTGCTGGGGATTCTCTTTCTCCCTCTCCCTCTGCCCCTCCCCACCCTACTCGCTTGCTCTCCCTAAAATAAATGAATACATCTTAAAAATTATGAGTATGCACAGGTATGTAGACATATTAGACAGAAATACACAAAAATGTTAATACTACTACAACTTGAAAGAGTGCCTAATATACGCCAGGCACCATGCTATGTATTTTACATACATTATAATAATTCTAATTCTTACAATAATCCCTCAAGGTAAATATTTTGTTATATTTCAGGTGAGGAAACCGAGGCTCAGAGGTTAAACAATCTACTAAACACCAAACATCTGGTTAGTGCCAGTGGTTTAACTGGGATTCAAGCTCAATGCTACCTTTTGCATCCAGGACATTTCTAATCTATAGTAGTTTTCTTCGTGTGATGGGGTGATTTTTATTTTCTGCTTTATATTTTTCAGCATTTTCCAAATTTGATACAATGAAATGTATTACTTTTTAATGCTATTATTATTTTAGCCAAGTTTTATTTTCAATAAAATACACAATAATTTTTCTCCAATAGACACTGGAATTTAGAATCTGAATATACGGTATTTAAAATCATATCTAGATTTCTCTCTACTGAAATCCAATGATCAGTGAGGAAAAAACATTTCAGGAATATTGGTGCCTTGAAAACAACAAACACTATTTTAATTTTAATTTTTTTAAATGCTATTTTTTTTAAAGGAAAAACCTTGTAAAAAAACAAAATGATGTAATGAGCATTTGAGCCTGCAAGATACCAGTTTAAATCCTGGCTCCCCACCACTGTGTGCACTCTGGCGGCTTGCTTAGCTTCTCTAAGTATCAGTTTCTTGAGATACCAAAAGAGGTCAGAGGCCTGGGCTGCCTGCACCACGAGGCTGTGGTGAGGGTCAAAGAAGACATGATGTGAAAGCACTGATGAGTTACTCATTCAACAAATACTGTATTTACTGGGCATCTATGGATTGTCCAGTGCTAGACAGTAAGAATACAAGAGAAGACAGTCTCTCTGCCCTTAGGAATTTAAATCCACTGACATATAAAACAATTTCAGTAGAGTGGGACAAGTGCCTTATGGCCAGCAAGTACCAGGTGCTGTGGAGCAGAAGACAGGCATCAAATTCAGCTTAGTAACTAGAGGAAGGGACAGCTAAGCTGCCATCTGAAGGATGAGTGGGAACTGGCCAGGGCGAGGCCTGGGGAGAAGGACGGAGAAAGAGCGTGTGCTAAGGCTGAAGAGAGGCAGCATGGCCGGTCAGTGTGAATTCGAGAGAACTCCCAGAGCCGTTGAGGAGGGGCCGAGGAGTCTCACCTATCGCAGTGGGACTGCAATAGCAACAGATATTCCCAACACATTAAGTACCCTTCATCCACTGTTCTCCCCACCGGTGACCCCAAGGCCCACCTCTGAAAGAACTGTCACTTCTCCAAAAAGTCTTATGAGCCACACTGCCCCCCAAAGCAGCAGATCTGTTCTCCATGTTTTGGTGGAGCCTATAGAGAACTGAGCAGCTCCTGCATCTGGCATGTGATACCCAAGATGATCATTTTCCCCCTAAGAACACAACTTTGCTGGCTAACTCAGCTCAGCAAATGTACTTCATGCTCCTTTCCCGAGTCCTCCAGAGTTCTTTTCAAAGTCTATGGTTCACTCCTTTTCCCAACCTATAAGAGTTATTTCCCTCAGTCACAAGGGCTTTCCAGAGAAGGAAGAGTGGTGAGAACAACCTAAGGAGTACAATTATCTGTTGTGTCACCTCCTCAGTCGCCAGCTGGTGGAGGCCCCCAAATAATGGAGACCTGACAAAATCAAAGGAAGGGGGCAGACACTCTTAAGGAAGAGCCAAGACTGAGAAATGGGAGGCTGAGGAGGAGGCAATGAGGAGGGGAAGACGGAGCCCAGACATTTACTTCTCTCTTTTCTTTAAAATTTTATTATGTTGGTCACCATACAGTATATCATTAGTTTTTGATATAGTGTTCCATGATTCATTGTTTGGGTATAACACCCAATGCTCCATGCAATATGTGCCCTCCTTAATACCCATCACTGGGCTAACCAATCCCCCCTCCCCCCTCCCCTCTAAAACCCTGTTTGTTTCCCAGAGTCCATAGTCTCTCATGGTTCATCTCTCCCTCCGATTTCCCTCCCTTCATTTTTCCCTTCCTTCTCCTAATGTCCTCCATGCTATTCCTTATGTTCCACATATAAGTGAAACCATATGATAATTGACTTTCTCTGCTTGACTTATTTCACTTAGCATAATCCCCTCCAGTTCCATCCATGTCAATACAAATTGTGGGTATTCATCCTTTCTGATGGCTAAGTAATATTCCATTGTATATATGGACCACATCTTCTTTATTGATTTGTCCGTTGAAGGGCATCTGGGCTCCTTCCACAGTTTGGCTATTGTGGACATTGCTGCTTTGAACATTGGGGTGCATGTGGCCCTTCTTTTCACTACATCTGCATCTTTGGGGTAAATACCCAGTAGTGCAATTGCTGGGTCATAGGGTAGCTCTATTTTTAAATTTTTGAGGAACCTCCAAACTGTTTTCCAAAGTGGCTGTACCAACTTGCATTCCCACCAACGGTTTAAGAGGGTTCCCCTTTCTCCACATCCTCTCCAACATTTGTTGTTTCTTGCCTTGTCAATTTGACAAGGGAAACAAAAGTGAAAATGAACTTTTGGGACTTCATCAAGATAAAAAGCTTCTGCACAGCAAAGGAAACAGTCAACAAAACAAAGAGGCAACCCACGGAATGGGAGAAGATATTTGCAAATGACACTACAGACAAAGTGCTGATTTCCAAGATCTATGAAGAACTTCTCAAACTCAACACCCAAAAAACAAATAAGTCAAAAAATGGGCAGAAGACACGAACAGACACTTCTCCAAAGAAGACATACAAATGGCTAACAGACACATGAAAAAATGTTCAACATCATTAGCCACCAGGGAAGTTCAAATCAAAACCACACTGAGATACCACCTTACACCAGTTCGAATGGCAACAAATAGACATTTACTTCTCTGAAGGAGCAGTGCACAGTGCTACCAGCTCCAGCACACACACACAGGGCTCACCAGATGCCAATGTCCCAAGCATTTGACAAACACATTTTTTTTAAAATTTATTTGACACAGAGAGAGACACAGCGAGAGAGGGAACACAAGCAGGGGGAGTGGGTAAGGGAGAAGCAGGCTTCCCGCGGAGCAGGGAGCCCAATGCGGGGCTCGATCCCAGGACCCTGGCATCATGACCTGAGCCAAAGGCAGACACTTGACGACTGAGCCACCCAGGCGCCCCTACAAACACATTTTACGTATCCTAACTTCTTTCATCTTCACAACCCTATGAGATATTTTTACATTTTACAGATGAAGAAATTGAGGTACAAAGAGATTAAGTAATTAATTTGCCCAGGGTCACAAAGCTAGTTAGTGGCAGAGCTAGGATTTAAATCTAGACAGACTGGCTTAAAATCCAAGCTTTTAACTATTACGTTACTAGTAGTATATTTAATATTATTAATATTATTTCATATATCAACTATTATTAATATTATATTGAGGCATTCATGCTGAAAGGCAGGAGGGGTAGCCAGTCAGAATTAGCCAGGCACCAAAAAGAATGCTTTTATTTAGAAGCCTCAGCACAGAGTTTCCCTACTGATGTGCTGTGAATGAGACACTGATCCCCTCATGGGGCTGAAGAATATAATTTTCTGTGTGTGCTATGATGTCAAGAAGGCTGGGCAGCCCTGCTCTAGCTTACACAAATACAAAGGCATTATCACCACATTACCATTATTATATTAATCTGAAATCTGATTTATCAGAAGTTTCTTTGTCTTACTTGGAGATAACTTTGTATTTTGTGTTTTGGCATATTATGGAGGATGAGCTACAAACCAGTCCAACCACATTATTTCACGGAGGTTCTGGTATCAGGTACAAGGCTACATTCTTCTATCTGACCTATTGGTTGGTTGGTGTCGTTTCTGATGGTATCATTACTACGTAGGGGACAAGGTCAAGGAAAAAGTATACTCAAACAGAAGCTAGTCAACTTTAAGGCATGATAGATGAAAGGAGCCACCTGTGTAATCAGCTCACTCAAAGGACAGTCTGAGTGTGATTCCAGGGGGCTAGGCTATTTCACAGGTTTCTCCCAAGAGTCCTGTGTGTAGGCAGGCTAGCCAGAAAGAGGCAGACTGCAGTATCTCACACAGCTACAGTGAGAGTTGGCAGTCTGAGGCCCACAAGAGTGCCGGCAGGGTGGTGATTCACAACAGGCCTCAGACAGGGCTGGGATAGCAAGATTTCCAGAGGGAAAAAGTCTGGAGTCAGGCCCATCTTCTTCCTCTGTTCTGACTCTTCAGAGCTGTCAGCACATCTCCTGGCGGAAGGAATAATCAGAGGAAGGACAGAGCGGGTAAAGAAGTATGTGCTTTAGAAAGAGCAAGCAAGAGGGAAGGACTGTATTTGTGTGAGCAGGACAGTATAAAAAGATGAAAAAGGCAGGCTGAAGTCAGATCACCCAACCTTATTAATGTGGCCACAAGGCCTTCCAACATCTGGTCCCTATCGGCTCTGCAGCCTCACCAAGCCTCAGTCATTATTTCAAGTAAAAATGAAGAGTGGCTAGTTCAGCTTGTGATTCAAACAATCCCACAAACGCTTTTCGTTGAGACAACCACCGTACCTCGGTATGCACACAGTGCTTTATGAGCATTTCCACTTTGTCACACAGAATATAAAAAAGATGTGTACTCAAGGGTTGAGATTCACTAAAATTAGCAATTTTTACTGCTTCATAAGGACCTTCTTTAAAAAAAAAACAAAGAAAACTAAGAGTATAGCAATGAGGAATACAATGACTGCAAGGACAGTTCCAGGCCACTGCCTTGATTCATGCTAAGGCACTATTGCTCTGCAACAACAAATAACATCTTAGTGCTGTTACAAAAACAGTTTTGACCTGGTAGATACCCTGAAAAGGTTTCAAGGACCCCCAAGGTCCGCACAGCCCACTTGTGAACCACCATTCTAGACAGTGGGGAGGGACTAGGCCGTGAAACCGGTTGTGATGTGCAGAACCAATGGGCAGCTGGCTGGGGACTGGGAGAGCAAGGAGAGGCTTCTGTGGCTGGGAAGAAGGCAAGGAAGGCCTGTAACTAAGGCAGGGGTGGGAAGGAAGAGAAAGAGATGAGGGGATGAAGCCGCAGAGGCAGAACTGGTCTTAGTCCTGCCGAGCGACTGGAGATGGTGGAGGAGTCAGAGATGTCCATCTTCTTTGAAGGCAGGGACGGGGCCTATTATCTCTCTGTCCCCTCTGCCCAGCAGGGAGCCAGCACAGAGGGGGACCTCAATATATGTTTATGAACTAAAATCAAAGAAGGGGAGAATTCAGGAAGGGGAGCTAGTTAGGAATGGGGAGAGGGGAAGATGGTGTGTCACTGGGAACCTAAAATGAAGAAGGGTGACACACAGCAGCAAAGGAGTAAAAAGGCTCACAGATCAGACTCAAACCATCCTCACCCAACCCTCATCTGACCCAACCTACAACTAAGGCATTATTTCTAACCTGCCAGGCATGATGGAGCCTCAGGCATTCAAGAACACTTCAAAAGAGCATCATATATGTCACAAATATGACAAGTTAAAAAAAACCTGGAAAGATACATCTCAAGTCATTATTAACAATGGTTACTTTGGGAGAACGAAACTTGGTAGGTACAGAATTATACTTTTCATACCTCTGTTGTATTTGATTTTGTTATTTATGGCACAGCTGTTTTACTTTTATAATTACAAGTAAATATATATGTTTTACTTACTGCACAGTTTCCCTTACGACCTTCTCTCCCATTGTGTTCTGGTAGAAATGTGCTCATCCCTACTACATAACTATCTTAGGCACACCAGGCAGCCCAGCTAATCCTAGCTGCCTACTGAATACCGAAATCTCCCACCCACCCTTTCCTCTGGAAGTATCAGATAATTTCAACCCAAAGCAATCTAAAATGTTAAACAAAATATGCATCCAATCTTACCTTGCCCAACTTCTGAGAAGTAAATCCTCTGTAAACTGAAATGAAATAATGAGATAATGCTCCTGTCGGAGGGCTGCTGTCTTCCAGCTCCAGGAAGTGTTTCAATAGTCTCTGTAGGTAGCAGGCATTCTTCACTTCCCCACTGGCTGTTGCTTCATCTGGCATGAAAATCTTAAAAAAGCAGAAATAGAAAAGATACAAAAATCTGACTTCTTTAAAATGACCAGAGAAGGTAAAGATCACCCTATGTGTCCCCCAAACCTATGTGTCACACAGTAAGTAGATATACACAAGACCATCACAGATTTCCCGTCTTTAAAATCAGGTATTTGAGCATCTGAAAATGCTGATACTAAACATCTGAAGATTTAACGAGGGTCTGAGTAAAAGTTTTCAGATTCTGTTTCCGCTGTGGGAGTCCAAACTTGGACCTGGAGGACAGATCTGGACAGCTCTGTTCACTGAGGAGTGTCCTGCGGAAGGTAAAAGCTGACATTCTCTGTCATCGACATTTTAATTTTTTTTTAAGATTTTATTTATGGGCGCCTGGGTGGCTCAGTCGTTAAGCCTCTGCCTTCGGCTCAGGTCATGGTCCCAGGGTCCTGGGATCGAGTCCCACATTGGGCTCCCTGCTCTGTGGAGAGCCTGCTTCTCCCTCTCCCACTCCCCCTGCTTGTGTTCCCTCTCTCGCTGTGTCTCTGTCAAATAAATAAATAAAATCTTTAAAAAAAATAAAATAAAGATTTTATTTATTTGAGAGTGCGTGCACATAAGCAAGGGGAGGGGTGGAGGGAGAAGGAGAAGCAGGCTCCCCACTGAGCAGGGAGCCCGACGCAGGGCTCAATCCCAGGACCCTGGGATCATGCTGAGCAGAAGGCAGAGGCTTATCCGACTGAGCCACCCAGGCACCCGTCATCCATGTTTTTAGAGATGAATGAACTCTGGCTCCATCTCTTAGTGGCCAGGTCCAGGTCTCACAGGCAGGAGGCAACAGAGCCA